TTGTTCTAAGCATTTTGAAGAAACATGAATTGTTTGTAAGATTTTTGAGATGTTGTTTTGGAGTGACACAGATTGATTACCTTAGGCATACATTGTTTGGTTTTGGTGTAGCTATGGATAATACTAAGTTAGAGGTAATGGCGGGCGCGAATGATAAAGGCAAGGGTAGCTAGAAGTAGAACTCGTTTTAATCTCAGATAGCAATGAATGTACTAGTATTCCTTACCTAGCAGTTAAGTGAGTGCTTCATGGGTGTGGAGCACGTACAGATAAGAAGGGTAGCTTGGGACGTTTCACTAATGTTATAAGGGTGTACTGCCTCCAAAGGTAGTACTCCCAATTGTCCCCTCATGACTTCAACCAAAACACCTGAAACAGTTAACGGGGTTTTTAGGCCTCATAAGTTATTATCAAAGGTTTGTGAAGCAGTATGCTAGTATTGCTGCAACATTGACTGAATTACTTAAAAAATATGTTTTTCTTTAGATTTCTAAAGCAACATAAGCTTTTGAACAATTGAAGCTAGCTATGACTTCTGCTCCTGTTTTAGCTATTCCTAATTTCAAGGACCTTTTTGTACTAGAGAATGATGCTTCAAGGACTGAAGTAGGTGCTGTCCTGAGTCAAAATAAGCATCTTATTGCTTATTTTTCAAAGAAAATTTTTGCTAGAATACAAAAATAGACAACATATATTCGAGAATTCTATGCCATCACTGAGACCCTAGCTAAAGTCAGACATTATCTTCTTGGCCATAAATTTATCATTAAGACAGATCAGAAAAGTTTGAAAGAATTGTTGGAGTATAAATTTTTGTATGGCTTGGTCTAAACCTAATTGTTCCTGGTTGCAATAATTAGTTCAGTTAACTCAAACATATCCTAAACTGTCTAAAATGTACAATACTTATGTTTCGGGGGTCAACAATCAAATTTTGAGTATAATATCAAAGATATTGTTCTTTTTTGGAAGGGTCGTATCTTAGTTCCTAATAATACAGATTTGATAAAGCAAATTCTCATAGAATTTCATAATTCAAAAATTAGAAGGCATGCTGATGTCACTAAGACCACAACCAGAATTAATAATCAATTTCATTAGACTAACATGTAGCAGGATGTTAGAAAATACATCAGGGAGTGTTTTATTTGTCAACAAGCTAAAGTTGAACAGACATTACCAATGAGACTCTTGCAACCACTACCTATTCCTCAACAAGTTTGGGATGACATTGCTATAGATTTTATTACTCATCTTCCTCCTTCGAATGGTTATGCAACAATCATGGTTATTGTGGATAGATTATCTAAATTTACTTATTTTATTCCAATGAGATCTGATTTTTCCAACAAATGTGGTTGAAGCCTTTATTATTGAAGTGATAAAGATAAATAGAATTCCAAAATCTATTGTTTCTAACAGAGTCTTTATTAGTTCATCCTGGTAGCAATTGTTTAAGTCTCAAGGAATAACATTGTCAAATGGGATCTTCTTACCATCCTTAGTTTGATGGTCAAATTGAGAATCTAAACAAGACACTAGAGATGTATTTAAAATGCTATGTGTATGAAAATCTTGGGTCAATATGCTACGTTGGGCTCAGTATTGGTATAATACCTCTTTTCATCACAGTGTAGGCATGACTCCTTTTCAAGCTTTTTTTGGCAAGTTTCCTCCTCAAATTGTTAGATATGATCATGATCCTAAGGATCCAATTTCTATACAAGAAACAATAAAGGCCAGGAATCAATTACTATTTCAATTGAAAGTAAATTTGATGAAGTCTCAACATTATATGACGCAGCAAGCAGACAAAAGGAGGGGAGATATCCAGTTGGATGTAGGAGATTTTGCATTGGTTAAACTACGACAGTAAAGACAACAATCTTTAGCATTAAGGAAGCATAAAAACTTGGGTCTCAAGGTTTTTTGGACCTTTTGAGGTGATTTAAAAGATTGGTTTTGTAGCTTATAAATTAAAGTTGCCAGATATAGCTAAAATATCTTGTTTTTCACGTTTCTTTGCTCAAGAGGTTTCATTACCACAACAGTATGTCCCATTACCTCTAACTACTTCAGAATATGGTCCTACAATTCATCCATGGGCAATATTACAATGTAGAGTGATAACCAGAAACAATAAGAAGGTATCTCAAGTCTTAGTTCAGTGGGACATTTTAGAACCTACTAATGCTACATGGGAGGATGTTGCGGAAGTGAAGCATTTCTATCCTTAGTTCAACCTTGAGAACAAGGTTATTTTTTATGAGGAGAATAATATAACATGCATAAAAGGGCAAAATGGAAAATTGACATCAAATTTGGTTAGTGGTCCTTCAAGACACGTGGCATAAGGACCGGAAATGAAGGAAACGGTTAGGAGAAGCACACGTGAGCATAATGAGAATGTGTATTTGAAGGACTATGATTGTGGAAGAAGGCATGCGGATGGTATGAATCTTCTTCGTAAATATTCTTACGTCTTTCTCCTCTTATCTTTCTTCCTCTTTTATTTGTTTATTTTTTCTGGACTATCTTCTCTTTGTTCAAGTAGAATCAACTACGGAAATCCAGTTCATGCTTCATGAGGATAGTTCGATGCTGACTTTATTCTTGTTTTGTTCATTGTTCATTTATGTTTGTACTAGACATTGTTCCAATACTAAATTGAATCTTTCTATCAATAAATTTGGTCATATCATCTTGTTTCATTCCTACAAAAATAAAATATCAAGTAAGTGTATTTACATCATACTTCTTTGTAGATATTTTATCATCCAAAAATAAATATACAATTAAATTTAAAAATTTCCTTTTAACTAAAAAAAATATAGTCGCATCATATAATAATTTATGATCAAATTATATAGTAATTTATAAAAAAGCAATAGCTAGAGAAATTTTCTTTAAAGAGATAATTTTGTGTGATGAATAAACGTTTCATGTCATAACGAAAAGTAAATTTCTTAATATATATATATATATATATATCTTTCTTTTTTAAAAGCACATCTAGAGAAAGTAAGTATAAGTGAAGTTCACTGAGGTTCCACCCCAAGAAACTCAAAGAATGTTTGCTTTATGAGTAATGAATAAATGCTTTTAAGCATGAAGACAAAGCACGCATTAAAAATGTTAGCAGTGAACATAGCAGAAACCAGAGAAGCAACAAAGTCACTTTAATACTTCCCCCATTCAGAAACTGAACAAATTATCATAACAATAAATAACAAGATTTGTGTTCAAAAATAAATTTTACAAAATAAGATAACTATGACAAATAAATGGGACGCTAAAAAAGAACAAATAATTTTAGCTAAATTTAATTTTTAGCACAAGGAGGACATTGTTTGAGTGATGGCTCAGCCCGATAATGGGAAATTATTTGAGCAATAATCCACTCAAAAGGAAAGCGCAAGACAAGGATCCAAAACAAAGGCGCACATATTACCCCGCATGAGTAAAGAAACCAGGAACAGAACTAATCAGGGCGTAGACACCAGGCTTCAGATGCTACAAATGTATCGCATATTCTCAAAAAGACAGACTTTCATCTTGACCATCCAATTACAAAAGCGAAAAACTCAAGATTGTCACCAAGATAAGAATGTCTCACTTTTTGTAGACACCAACATCCTCACTTCAACAAAATACGTTAAAATGGTGGTTTATTAGTAGGAAAAGGAATGTTTGCTCCTTTTTTTCAAAATATTATGTAATGGTTTTGAAATTAAAACATCGCTTTTGTTTGTGCTTACGCAATAAATGTGTAATTTGGCTATGCTTCATAAGCATATGAACCCTACTCCCCCCCCCCCCCTCCCTAATATCCATGCAGGAACACAGACACATCTATCTGAATGACATTGAATTTATTAATAGGATATAGCAGATTTGCATTTGGCCTTATAATGTAATAGACACAAGAATGAAACCCATGTACATGAAGACAAAGATGCATGTTTTGTCTCTCTTACATTGCAATGATTAATTAAACGCCACAACCAAAATTAAACCCAATTAATCGTTTTATGCTTTGCCTGAACAAATAGAGAATCTCCACTAGCTTTCTCCGATTTATCACGAGCCATGCGACAATAGAAGGAGGAGAAACAACTAGTGGTGGAAGAATGAACAGGTGACAGCAAGTGAAGTGAAAGCAGAGGTGAAGGAACTGGTGGAGGTAAAGAAGAGTAAATTAACGGAGATGGTAAAGTGGTACCCGTATCTGATGAAGATACAGGCACAGAATACGGTAATTTTTAAAAATTAAAAAAATACAATAAATTAGTAGATTGTTGTAAAATTATTAAAAAAATAATTTAATAAACTCATATTACACATTTTATAAGTAAGGATGAATGATTTAATTTAAATAAAAATATATATGAAAAAATGGAGAAAAGTATTATAATTTTTAAATTTACTAGGAAAAATTATTTATTTGAGAAGAAAAATTGTCTAACTAGTACTTAAGGTATAATTAATTATACCTTAAATCATACTTAATTTAGTTAAGGTTATATTTATGGTGCATGTAATTATTTTTAAAATAATTATTCTTAATAAGTACCCAAATTTATCTTACGTGTACTAGTATCCAGTGTGTATAGTATAGAGGTATTTTTGACATAGGAAATATTCGTGCTTCAAAGGGGGTAGAGATTCTAGAGAATGAAATGGAGGTGGTGGAGGAGAAAGAACTTGAAGTAGTTGGTCCTTAATCGTTTCAAAGTAATCGTAACCAAGTATTGGGGGTCCAACTATTGCCGCCTACATTTTTCCGAATAAAGTTGAATTCCAGCACAAGATAAAATGAACCTTTGCATGACTATTATGTGAAGGGCATGTCATACATACAACAAAACCAATAATGGCCTTGTACTAAAATTGGGCTAACAACTTATACCTTTATGAAAAGTATGTGCTTGCCCTGGATTATATAGGTCACTGGCCACTTCTGAATGAAAAATAAGATCATAAAGAGTAGGTTGCCTCCGAAATGCTATGCACTATTGCTGCTATAGAGATAATTGAAGGGTATAATAGAGTTAATGGTCGCTGTTATATGCTCAATAGTTGTGTAAATAATATCAGAATACGGATGGGTTTTATCTTCTACAGAGAACAGATGAAAATCATTGTTCAATTCTATCCAGCTGCACCCTGGATCTTTTCTCAATTGCAAACACTGCAATCTCTTCCTAAGTTTAGTCTTCTGCCCCCATCTACCTAGGATGGCATACATGTTGGACAGAATAACAAAAGCAGATATTGGGTTGGGATCCAAAGTGAACAACTTCTGAGCAGCTCTCTCCCCCACTTCCATGTCCTTCCAAAAACAAGAAGCATTAAGCAAAGCTCCCCAAATTACCCCATCTGCTTTGATAGGCATTTGTAAGATAAACTCTTCAGCTTCTTTCACATGGCCTGATCGACCAAGAAGATCCACCACACACGTGTAATGTTCTATTGTTGGGGTTACCTTGTAGTATCTTTGCATTGAGTGGAAAATTCTCAAACCTTCACCTACTAGACCTGTGTGACTACACGCAGAAAGAATTCCAACAAAAGTAGCTGCATTTGGAACAACTCCTTGCAATAACATTGAGCGAAAGAGTAAAATTGCCTCAAATCCCAGTCCATGATATGCATACCCATTTATAAGAGCTGTCCATGCTGCTACATTGGGTGAAAAAATGCCATTGAAAGACCTTTGAGCATCAGCCAGACGGCCACATTTGGAATAGAAGTCTACAAGAGCAGTGCCAACATAGACATTTGCTTGGAATGGTGTTTTGATTAAGTGAGCATGAAGTAATTGTCCTTGTTGAAATGAACAAAGACAAGAGCAAGCGCGGAATAGAACAGAGAAAGTTGATCTGCTATAGTCAACTGATAATCTACGCATAATCACGTACAATTTAAATGCCTCGTGGTGTTGACCATTATTAACATAACCCGACATCATTGAATTCCAAGTGACATAGTTTCTTTCCCCTTTAATTTTGTCGAAAAGCTTCACAGCTTCATCAAGTTCACCATATTTGGAATATACAGAAATCATAGTATTTAAGGAGGTTAAATTCTTGGGATTCATTTTCTCAAATAATATTTTTGATTTTTCAAAGTTGCCAATCATTGCATGACCTTTAATCATCAAATTATATGAGACGGAATTCGTCTCTCTCAATTCATAAAAGATGAGCTCAGCCTCTTCAATCCTTCCTGTCAAGATAAGGCCCCCAATCAATGAGTTAGCAACATTCAAAGAAGCTTCTCCGCCCATGCCCTCATAAACTCGCTTAGCATCGTCTATGGCTTCACAAATACAATAAAACTCAGTAAGTGCACCACCAATTGAGTTATCAAAATCAAACCCACACTTAATGCAAAGCCCATGAACAACCTTCCCCGAACACACAACCCGAAGTCTAGCACAAACCCTTATAACACAATCCAAAGTGAACTCATTAGGCAACACATTAGAACTCCTCCTCATACACCCAAACAAATCCAAAGCCCTCTCACACCCATCTTCCCTCTTTGCATACGCAGAGATCAACGTAGTCCAAGCCACAACATCCCGTGCAGGCATTTTTACAAACATGTCCATAGCTTCACCCATCATGTTATGATGCACATAACCCGCAAGCATCAAACTCCACAACACTTGGTTCCCATCACGCAACTCCTCAAAAACCACCTCAGCTTCTCCAATTCCACAGCAATGCACACAAAAATACAACAAAGCACTCCCCACAGGGCCAAACCTCTCATAGCCAGATTTCAAAAGCAGGGAATGAACCTGCTTTCCAAGAAGCAAGGACCCATAACGAGCACACGCGCTCAACACCGCGGAGATAGAAACTTCGTTGAGCTTGACACAAGAGCGGTGCATGAAGGAAACGAGGGTAAGAGCCTCAGCGTATCTCCCCCATTGGGAGTAACCAGAAATGACGGTGTTCCAAGAAGAAACTGTTCGCTGAGGCATTTCGTCGAACAGTTGGCGCGCTTCTTCGAGTTTACCGGCTTTGAAGCGTTGGGCGATGGAGATGTTGGGGGAGATCACGTGACCCACTCGGGGCTCCGAAGCTTGCAAATGGGTCGTGAAAAGTCGGAATCTTTCTCTCCGTTTCCAATTGTTGCGATTCCATGTACCAACGAGGCAGAATCGGAGGAACAGTGTCATTGTGTGGAAGTGCAAAACAAAACATTGTATTTGTGCGATGGGAAGGTGAGTTCCTGCATCAAGAGCAATTTGAACTGTTTTTTACAAACAGCATGAACTTTTCAGTTTTAGTTGAAATTATAAAAATTAAAAGAAAAACAAAATATATTAAATTGTTAATTATCCGTTGATCACATAACTTTTAATTTATTCTTAAAAATAACGTCAGTTTAAATTTCTCTGATTTTAAGAATTTAATGCAACAATAAAATGAACTAATGAATATCTCATAAATTATATGAGTTTATAAAATGTGCGTGAAATATAAAAATATAAATCTTAAGAAAATTAAGGTAAATTATTAATGATAATAAAAAATAAAATAATTAAGTGTTTAAAAGTTTTAATTGAAAAATTCTAAAAAATTAGTTAATAGAAAGTATAAACTCTTTTAATAATGATTTCTAAATATCTTCTTATACTTAATTTTGATAGATAAAAATTAAATGACAAAAATGATTTATTTTGATCCAAATATTCATAAAATATGTGCTACAATTTGTAAAAGATGAATGGTTCAATAATTCCGGAAATGAGTATTTCAATTTAGGTAGTGTTTATTTTAATGTGTGCTAATAGATTTTCGAGAATCACATTAAAAACAATTATAACTAAGAACATTACTCTTGGGTAAATATAAAAAAGGATTTGTTTAAATTATAATATCTTCAAAATTTATATGATAAAAGGAAAAGTGAGAGTGAAAACGAAAGTTACCTATAACTTTTTTATTTTTTAAGCTAAGAATTGGAAATATTAATGCCTTTTTGTTTTGGTGAATATTTTTTCAATTTTTTCTGAAAAAAATAATTTTCACATCTTCAAATTTAGAAAGCATGTTCTGTTTTAAATCTTGTTTCTTTTTTTAGAAGATAAAAATATTAAAAATGAATTTAATTTCTTTATTTTCAATAAATTTTAACTTGATGAATATTTTTAAATTAAGTTTTATTTTTAAAATGATATAACATATTTTTATAAATGAATAATTCTCGAATATAAAACTTATCATATATAATATTAAATTTATTGCATTATTTTTTAATAACAATAAAATTAAAATACAGCAAGTGCTAGTGGTTAAGCTTAATCATCATAATATTAATCTTTTAATTAGCAAAAAGTAAACTATTAAATATTTTAATGTTTTGAAGATATTAAGTTCGATTAATTTTCTATTTAATGTCTCTTAGAAAGTATTAAGAATATTAATATAAGATTGTTATGTTTATAAAAAGATATAATAATATTCTATCTTATTATTACTTTTCAATATTCATAATTTGGTGCAAGTTTTATAACTTAAGCAAAAAATAAACCATGTGTTATATAGATACTTACACAAATATATAAATTAAAAATACGTAAAAAAATTTTATTTAGAGTTTAATTTTAGTATAATATAAATGAAAAAGGTTTTATATTATTAACCAATTAGAATGCATAGTAAATATAATTTTATATTAATTATTACTAAAAATTAAGTATTCTTATTGACATGATAACCCATGATCGAATAATCAATCTTTATTATCAATATATTTAAATCAAACTTTATATTAAAAAATTATACTATCATCAATAAGTCTCAATTTAACAGAATTTTTTATCCGAAAATCCATAAAATACTAATATTGATTATTATAAACATTTATATGTTAATAAATTCAAGTCACATAAAAAAAAATGTATTAAAAATAATATACATGCATTATAAAATATGTTAAAAAAGTGTACCTTATAACAGAAGGATGGTGGTAATTTCAATTTTGCAAATGATTATTCCAAAGAATAGGTCTAAGGTTTCGCAAACATTGCCCCATTAGTGAAAAGCGAATAAAAATAAAGAAATAAAAGTGTTTTAAAATATATATTAAAAAAGAAAAGAAAAGAAGAGAATTAAAAAGAAGAAAAAGAAATGACTTGTGGTAAATGCTGCATGAGTAGACTTGGTTGCAAGTCCCAACAAAAGAAGTAGAAGTCCGAGGAACAAGGAAGTAAAAAAATAGGTTAAATTAAAAATTTCGTTATTTGATTTTTTTAATTTGATTTCTAAAAAATCATAATTTAATTTTTATACGAGAAAATCATTTTTAATTAATTTTTTTCGTTTTAATATGCATTAAAGATTCTAAATGGAAGAATCAAAACATAAAAAAGTTATATAAAAACTAAATTATAAATTTTTAAATATAACATTAATTTATGAATAAGTGTCAATTACAAAAATCAAATAAATATTTTAACTAACTATAATTTTAAAAAAAATATAAGATATCAAACAAGTTGAGAAAATATTTATATTACAATTCAATTATATTTAAAAACCACAATTAATATTTAACTAATAAAAGAAATTAATTTATTTTATAAATTCTATTAATCTCAATTTTTAGAGTTAAATTTATTTAAAGTCAGTTTTAAAGGTAAAAGTTTTTATTTTAAATCTTTGTCTTTTATTATATCTTTAAATAAATGAATAAAATGTTAGACTAATATTTTTTATAGAATATTTTTAAAAAATATAAGAAAAAAATTACGATTTTTAAAATATGAAATTACATATAACTTTATTTAAAAACATAAATTTTTAATCTTTTAAAATTTTGTAATTTTTTGTAGCATCTTTTATTTTTTCAAACAAGTTCAAAAGTTAAGTCCAAAAACATTTAATCTCTTATTAGAATTTATATTTAGTCCCTATAACTAATACTTAATTTTATATTAAATTTTATAATTAAAATTTATGTTTTAATCTACACACAAATATTTTTTTATATACATTTTGATCATTCTCATCTAATGCATGTAGAAGACTTCAAACGCCTAGGATTAACATGGAAATATTTATTATGTAAAGATTAAATTGCAACAATTTTTTAGTATATTAAGTATAAGAATTAAATTATAATTAAAAAATAAAAATGAAGAAAAAACATGACTTAAGAAAAAGCTAATTTACAAATCATGATTAGTAGTAATCCCCACAACTTGTTCACAAAAATAGTACCCACAATTGTAATAAGAAAAACTTTAGAAAAAAGCTTACACAATCTTGGATCTTTTCTAAGTCACAACTTACTAAAACAAACCCACACAGGATTTTATACCCATTCCAGATCCAGTCACCTGGTAGTAATTAAAACTATCCCCCAAATTAACCATTTCCTAAAATAAAAAACATATATGAAATTTAAAATTATGAAAAGTAATTAATTACATAAGTAGAAAAGGCCCAAAATTTACACCCATATCCATCACATGGTGGGGTTATTCCTAGTCCACTTGGTTGGTGGTGCACATTCACATAACTAGTCTCCTCATATGGTAATCAATAATCATCAATCTGTTTCATGGTCAGGAGCAGGAGAATACCATGCAGGGAACCTTCCCATACTTCTAAGAAGCTTAGTATATGGCGAATCAGGCATTCTAGCTTCCTCCTCTTCCATCAACTCATCAGCTGATTTTGGCAATCCATCTGGTTTGGGACACAGTCTTTCTCCTCCTCCTAATTTTACACCCTTAGTTAAACTTATTTCGTTCTTCTTTAGTTTATGCATAATTGCAATCCCATGTAAACATCCTATTAAGGATTTTACACCACCTGTCTCCAGGATCAACCTCTCTACCTCTTCTTTTGGGCTCTCTTTCTGTAAATCATTACAAGCAAGTATAGATTGGTTAATCAAAGTCAATAAATGTCCATACATAATTAAGACACCAATGAATATCTAGATGCTTTTTCAAAAATGAATACAGCTTGGGAATTTTATAATTGAGACTCAAATACAGTCTTACTTAAAGATGCCATAACCTAAATGCTAACCTTAGGGCATTAGAATTGAGTTTAAACTTTCGAAATTAGTTTTTTTTAATTATAAATATTTATCGTATTTTATAACTTTAATAATAATAAAATTTTACTATTTCTAAATACTTAAGCTTATTCTTACAAAACTTTAAAATTTATTAATGCGCTTTTATTATAATTATTAATATAATTTTTACTTATTAAATTTTTAACTACTATTTGTGGTTAACAAAACTTCTCGTTTATTTAGTAAAATCTCTCATCCAACACTGGTTAGAAAAATTCATAAAAAAATTACGTATAATTTTTTTTTAAGGTTTTGTGCTACCACTTTCTGTTAATTTTTTCAAGTTATTTTCCCATCCAATGTTCCACGGGGGCAGAGAAGTCTTCCTCTGGTAATCATTCTTAGACAAATTTAAAAGAGAAATAAATTTATTCAAAAAAGCTCGTTTTCAAAGAAATAAAGCCAAATAAGGAAACGAACAACATCAACACCACCACAAACTGCAGAAAGAAGATTAATGGCATACTTCAAGATCCTTCAGCTCAAAATAAGCCTGCCAGCAACTGTAGGATTCGTCACCTTCAAGCGTTGAACAATAATCTGCAAAGGGAAAAAAAAATACCACAATAATGAATTTACAGCAAACAACAACAGATCACAACAAAATCTGTAATTAGATTTCTTATTTCCAAGGAAGTGCATAGAGGGTCATCAATTTTAATCAGATCACAGGAAAATGAAAAAAGGAAAGAACACATCAAAGGGAGAAAATAAACAATAACTAAAAAAAAAAAAAAAAAACAGATACCCCAATTAAAAATCCCAAAAAGGGTTCTTTAGAATCGTTATAAAGTTGTTAAATTTGAAGAAATCAAAGAGAGAGGGACGTAACGAACCTAAGAGCTCTTTCTCAGATTTTTCTATCAAAGGAGGGTCTTTAACGGCCCTTTCAAACTTGGTTCGGCTAAAAGGTTCGAGCTTTGGGATGTAAGGTTGGTTCCTCGATGAACAACAAACGAAGGAAGCGTGTCTCGTTGATGAGGTTCGGTTGCTATGTGCGTCGAGAAGCAAAGGAGAGGAACCAGGGCGAAGCAGTGTTGCCTTCATAGTTGAGTATTACGATTAGAAAACTGCGTGTGCTTCTTCTATAACAAGGATGAGATTGAAAACAAGCAAATGAAAACCGAAAGAGAGTGCGTGGTATTATTAATGATAAGGGCTAATGAATGACGCGAGAAACAAGATATTATTAAATACTTTGAAATTCTGTGGGAGTTTCTCGATTTGGATAAGGATGATATTGTTGTAGATTTTTTTATTCTTATTTTTAACGTATCCTGAACACGTAGAAAAAATTCAGAAAACTCGATATGTTATGTTTTCTTAAAAGAAAAATAAAATTTTGCTTTAATTTTATAATTTAATTGAATTACAAAGATAAATTATTTAATTATTTAATTATTTTAAATATATTTTTAATTAAAAAATTATTTAAAAATTCAAAAAACCATTATTGAAATAAAAATTTAATTAATCCATCGACCCAAAAATAGAATCCTTGGATGATAATTGGAGAAGATATTTGGAGAAGATATTTAGCGTTGATTGGTGCTTGCACTTTTTGGTGAAGTGGGTGCACTTTTCCTACGTGGCTGAGTAGAGCCAATTGTTGCACTGAAAATAAAGGGTTTACCAATAAGAGTGCTGCGGTTTGTCAGAATCGGTGTGCGCAAATATGACCAATTCTTATGCCTCTCATCCCATTTCCCTCTTGCCGTTGTCTACGGTGTTTTCGTTTTTTAATTTCTTTTTTTAGCACTTTAGCAACTTATTTATTTATTTATATTTTATATAATTAATAAGAAATTAATATTTTATTTATAACTTTACTCTTCATAATGAATATTAATATGATAGAAATAATAAATAAGCAGCATATTAATTTATATAAATGAATGATACAATAAACAATTAAATAATAATTTTTTATGAAATTTAAAATATCAATTTTTTAAATACTTATGTAAAATCTTCAATGTCAACTAAAAATAACGGAAAGAGTAGTAATTGTGTGTATAGTATATAAGTATTTTTAAAAATTTAAAATACTCTTTAATGTGTTACATGTAAGACAATTTTATTAAAAATCACAAAATTTAACACATTAAAAATATTTAGTGTTATAATTTTTAATAAAAATTAATATTTATTAGTTTTTTATTAAGTTTCTTTTATCACATATTTAAAAATACTTTTAAAAACTAAAATATTTTTATTATTTTAAATAATATTAAATTAAAAAATACACTTGCCAAAATAATAAATAATAAATTTTAAATTTTAAAATATGTTTAATTAAATGATAAGGCTTGAACTAAAATTATATATATTTTTATAAGAGAAATGTTGGTAACATAATTTCTCACACACTATTTACTATAGACTAAAATTTACTAAAAAATAAAAAAAATGAAAAAACATTAATTTAAAAGTGAAAAAAAGTGAAACTCATATTTTTTTTATAATTTCAATAAAATTTAACCAGTGTTACAAAGAAAGTGTCATTATCATTTAAGATAATTTTTAAAAATACTTTTATTTAAGAATAGTGCATTTAATATACATAGGTGTAGATAATTTAAAAATATAAACAAATAAGTTTTTAGATTATAATTTAATTAATTCAGTCTATTAAATTATGAGTAAATCAAATAATATTTTTTGAATAACCTCAATAGGTTGATTGAGTAAAATAGAATACAATCTTTCAACACGTCACATGTTCAAGCTTTTACTTTTTTTTGAATGACTCGAAGTGGAAAATTTTTAAGTTACAAAACAACACCCACAAAAAATGTTGTTTGTCAAAAATAAAATTGTGATAACGCTAATCACCAATTATATAAAGTTTTCAATATTTATGATGTAATAATTTTTAAAACTAATCAAAGAAAACGTAGAAAAATATTATTCTTATTTTCAGAATCGGGACATATTTAGAGAATGTTTTTAATTACAGAACACGGTTTGTAAAACTTAACCCAACATATTCTTAATTATATTTTCTATTTTTACTTAAAATGAAAATTAAGTAAAACAAGTTTCTCTCTCATTTAATAATAAAAAAAGAAAATAAAAAACAATTTATTTGACCTAAAGTTGACCGATGAAGATATCTGCTCTCTTCCTTTCTCCCTTCTTATTTCTTTCAAAATGTTAAACTAAATATAAAAGTATTATAAAATATTTCTCCCCTCCTCTCCCGTTCTCTTTACTTAAACCAAATAATACGAAAACGTTTTATTTTAATATATTATTGGTTTACAAAATTTTATTTTATAAATAAAATAAAACGTTAAAATTAATCATAATAAAAGTCATCAATTACTACTACAAAAATAATTATTATTGAATAATAGTATAAATAAAATTATATTATCAATGTATTCTAACTAAATTATAATATTATATATTTCATTATTTGTCTTAGACTTTATTTTGATATATAAATTATTATAAATTACTTTTAAAAATTAAAATATTAATTTAGTATTTAAAAATTTATTTGATATCAAATTAATTATTTCAAAGTTATAATATCAAATAATGATTTTTTTTATAAGAAATTTATTAATTTATGCCTCAAAATAAAAATCTCTGTATGTTTTTTAGATCTATTTGGATGAAAGATGAAATAAAGAAAAAAATAGAAAAGAAAGAAATAGAGTAAACATAAAGTAAAAATATTTAATATTTATATGAATTAAAATTAAAAATGTTTTTTAATTTTCTTGATAAAAAATATTTTTATTTTATTATTTTAATATTTTTTAGAAACAAGAAAACAAATTCCCATGCCTACCCTCTTTTTTAGTTAATTTTCACTCTAAAATAATAGTATTTTGACGTGTGAGGCCCCCTCTTCATCCTCCCTATCTTCATATAAACTTAGAGGTGTTAAAATTTTCTCAGTTCTTTTTTACTCCATTTATTTATTGCATACAAATATATTTTAATGTTTTAAAGAGTTAATATTATAAATATTTTTAAAAATTAAACTAGTTTTAAGTGTATACAAAAAGTTAAAAAATTTAAAGTATTTGATTTATAAACCTATTTGCGGACGTGATATTTTTTTTATATATTATAGTAATTGCTTAATAGCTATTAATTAATAAAATAAATAATGTCTATTTATCTTCGTAGAAGAATCAATTCATAATATGTGATCTAAATTTATATTAAAAATTTATTAAATTTAATAATTTGTTTATAATTTAAGCCTTTATGAAAAAAATTAATACAGTCTAAATGTAAATAAAATTATTTTACTCTTTTATTTATAAATTTTAAAATTTTAACTAATATCATATAAACAAAATAAAAAGTTGTTCTTATGATGATTAGTATTATAGTAATATATAATTTTATTTTCTCTGTTTAACATATATAATAAAAAATTTATACCTTATTAAAAGTTAGCATATTTTTTTATATATTTGTTCAGTATTGGAAAATAATTATAAAAATATAAAAAATAGCTAAAAAAAGGTTAGAGTCAAGTAACATACAGATAGAATAAACAAAAATTTCATAAAATATAGTTAAAGCATTGAATTTATAAAAATAAAAATAATAAATAAGAGAAATATTTCAGATACTGTAGTTAGAATTTTTAATTAAATAAAATATTTATTTATAATATTTTTTTCATCAAATTTAATTTAGATTCGACTTGAATCACACTTAAATATAGTGCATAAGTTTGTCACTAAATTTTTTTTACATACACAAAAACTCGAATTCAATAATTTGTTTAAACAAAATCGAGTCACTTGTTACGTAAACTAACATCTACTAATTTTATTTATAATATTTTAATATTATCAAAATAAACATTTTGATGACGATATTAAGTATTTATTATTAATGTTTTTATTTTCTTTATTTAACATATATAAAAAATTATTTTCTGAAAAATATTGAAAAATAATTATAAAAATAATTTAAATATTTACAATACAAAAAAAGTGATATATAATAAAATAAATAAAATTATAAATTATTTTTTTATATAAAATATCATGCGACATTATAGTATATGAAAAATAAATAATTCAATATAATATTATAACTCTTATAAACTCTTTTAATTTAACTTATTTTAATGATATATATATATATATATATATATATATATATATATATACCATGTATAAATGTTTAAATAACTATATATATATATATATATGTATATTAATGTATTTATTAAATAACTATTTAATTTAACCTGTCACCTGAACACATTTTTTTTAATCATAATTATGATGAAGTTGAATTCGATCTCCCGGAGCTTGGGGATGAGCACTTTGTCCAATAAGGAAACAACTTGAAAAGTCCGCAGAAACGATCGCAACAGAACGGAGACTCAACAAGAAAAGAAAAAAAAAATTGAAAGGAAGAAAAGAAAAAAATATTATTAACAAAAAGTCATCTATTATATGAGAAAAGCTAAGGATGCGAGTTTGATAAATAATGGAATCTTTAAGATATATCGACATGAGTTTATTTCATAAAAAGTATTTAATTAAAAATAAAAGTTAGGTTTATTGATCTTTTATTATTTGAAGAGATTAGGCTTTAATTATTAATTGAGAATATAGATTAAGAGAGACAACTGAGTTAATTTTGTAATTTCAATTGACTATAATACGCAAAGAATTTTAGTCCCCGGAAATGGGATATTCACAATAGTATATATGTCACGCACGTTATCATAGCATTATCCCCTTCCCTTCCCTTCTCTTCTCTTCGATCCTTCGCATGTCTAATTAATTGTTTAAGGAGAGACCAGCTCATAAAGTCACAAAGAACATTATTGTCTAGTTCCAGGTTTTGTTGTTGTTGTTTCCTGAAATTCCCCGAAGGAATCGAAATTGAATCGAAGAGAGCGTGATTTCTAGTATCTTCAAGAAGGGCATGGAGAGTGTGAATGATCTGATCCATGAGGCCAAGCTCCGCACTCTCTGGTGGGCCCTCTGTATATTTGCCGTTTCTTATTTTCTAACTCGTAAGTTTTCTTTTCCATTGATTTTTTAGTCTCTATTTTGCTGTTAGGGAATGAATCTCCGTTTTTGTTTACTCTCCCAATTCTGATTTCAATTTTGGAATTAGTAGCTCATGCTTTACCAATTTTGCATTTATTGCTTAGTGTTTATTAATGCTCTTTGGTAAGTGTGGAATTTCATTCATGAACTGAACTGACTATGACTGTTTGGGTTTGTTTTCAAGTGTTCAAGTGTTTGGGTGGTTTTAGTTATGACTTAAAACCAAGTGTTTGTGTGATTTTGTCTTTTTTACTAGGAAAGAAGGGAAGAATATATTATAATTATCATTCAATTGCCCTGCTTTTCTTTTTTTCTTTGTACTCATATTTTGTATGAATGATGATTTTGTGTCATATCGTAGATACAAGTAAATCAATGTGGATGAATGTACCCATGTCGATCCTTTTTGTTGCGGGGCTGCGCATTCTTTTCAATAAGGTGGAGTTCCGTTGGAAGGTTCAACAGCCTAGATCGCAGACTTATCTATCTCATTTGGAGAAAAAACAGTTATCCTCGAATGATCCGCGGCTATCTAGTGTGACTCCCCCTGCAAAATGGAAGAGGAAAATTGATTCTCCTGTTGTGGAGGCTGCGATGAGCGATTTCGTTGATAAGATATTGAAGGATTTTGTGGTTGATTTGTGGTACTCAGAAATTACTCCAGATAAGGAGTTTCCTCAGCAGATACATGCAATCATCATGGATGTTCTAGCTGAAATATCAGGAAGGGTTAAAGACATAAATCTGGTTGATTTGCTGACAAGGTTTCTGGTTTCCCTCCTCCTATATTTGCTGTCTGAGAGAAAGCATTATGAAAACTTCTAATTGTCTTTTGTTTCCTTTGCATTTCAGAGACTTAGTTGATTTAGTAGGTGATCACTTAGAACTTTTCAGAAGAAATCAAGCTGCTATAGGTGTTGATGTCATGAAAACATTATCTTCTGAGGAAAGGGATGACAGATTGAAATTCCATCTGTTGAATTCCAAGGAGCTTCATCCAGCACTAATATCTCCTGAGAGTGAGTACAAGGTGTGAGTGGAGTGTTCTAATGATATATATATTTTTTTGAGAATTATGTCTTGTATCATATCTAATGAATGCTCTTTTGTAGGTTCTTCAGCGGCTAATGAGTGCTGTTATAGCTACAGTACTGAGACAACGAGAAGCTCAGTGTCCTGTCATTCGTTCTATAGCTCGGGAACTTTTAACTTGTTTGGTAATTCAGCCTATTATGAATTTGGCAAGCCCTGGGTATGTTGTTGAGTATTTTGTCTTATATTTTGTCTGTAAGAATTATAATTCATTTTTGGAGAGGTATATCATAACAAATATGATAATATACTTCATAGAAGGGGTTGCTCCATTCAAGATTTAAAGTTGTCTGTTTTTAGAAACATAGGGGGTATTTTTTTATCAGTCTTTGTTGAAATCATATTTATGGCTTGTGCGGTTAGGTGGAAAAGTGGGAAGGTGCAAAATAGAGGGAGGAATGGAAATGATTTTCAAACAGTGTTTTGTCCTAGAGTATCAATACATTTATCATCCACCTTCTCGTATTTATGCTTTACCAAGAATGTGTAAAGTGATTTTGTTCTGTTCTGGCTTCTGTGCTTTTGAGCTGTAGATTTAAAACTATTAGACTGGAACAAAGTGTGAGGCTATGTATGATAAGGTTGAAGGTTGAAAAGTGAAAGGGTAGCTACTGGGACAATACCAAGTTTTATATATTTTGAAGGGAGTTGCTTTTTGCACCCATTTTTTTTTATTCTTTCACCCCTTTAAATTATTTTGTTGCTTTTTGTTCTTGAACTACCATTTAATCGTAAGATTGCCTAATATGATAAATTCCAATACTACAAAAAAAGTCTCAATAAAAGTATAAAACCCTCTCATCAGAACACCACAATTATCATTTTTCTTTAAGACCCAAGAAAATCATGATCCACACTTTCGCCAACTGCATACAAAACATTAGCAATAAACATGGATATAACATGAAAAACTTTTGGAGTATGGCATCAACAGTATGTGTAAGATGTATCTTAAACAAGGTACAAGTACGAAAGAACCATTTTTGGAGATTAAGTTCCAGAAAGAGTTACTCTTTAAAAAATAGTTCCAAAAACTAGATTCTGATACATTATTTGATGCCTTGTGGATGTTTATTTCCAGAAATTCCTTTCTATGACTTCGGAATAAGAGATATAAATGTAATTGACACAGGAGATAACCAGTTGCTTCTTGATGAAAAATAAACCCACAAACACAAAAGGAGAGGAGTTAATGCAGAGGAAGAAGAACAGTTGCAGGAAGCAAAGGGATGTATTAGTTTGAAATACTGAAGGTTGATTTGGGTAAAAAATTTAAATAATAAAAAACAAGTGTGGTGTAATTAGTGAAAAATTAACGAGGTGCAAAAAGTAATGGCCTATTTTGAATGTCAGAGCAGAGTTCAGTGGAAAATATTATGCAATTGTGGGTGTTGTTAGGTTGAGTGTGCTAGAAAAAAAATAGTATAAGGAAAGGACTTGTTAATTCATTCCTGTGTTGAGATATGTATATACTGAATTTATGATTGTACTTGCTAATCATAAATTCATAATCATTGTGTTTCCATTTTAAATCAATGGTTTTGGGTTTTCCCAATCTTTCATCTGTTAAGCCTTCCTATTTTATCAAAGAGCAATTTCTAAATTTAAAAATTTATATGTAGGGTTAAAAGAGTAAAACATTGTTCAGAGCATTTGTGCCTTAAATAAACATATCATATTATTGGTCATCTCCAAGACTGTAAAAATTGGAGTAGCATTTTAGTTAAGTTTCTTTATAATTTTTGCAATTCCCATTCATAATAATATATTTATCTTGATGATCAGGTATATTAATGAGCTGATTGAATCTCTTCTTCTTCTCCTTAATGATGATGGTACAAAAGGGATGGGCAGTTTTCAGTCGACTAATGTAGCAAGTCATCATCATGGTCATTCTGTTGCTACTGAGGCTGGACACAACAATATCACAGCCTCTGATAAGCATCCATCTTTGAATCAAGGAACTGATATGATATTGGCTAAAATGAACGATCAGGGAGGAACGTCATTACAATATAACACTATCCATCATGAATCTTCACAGGTCAGGCCAGTGGATTGGGCACTAATGTTGGAGGTTGCAACTCAGAGGAGAACTGAAATTCTTATGCCTGAGAATCTCGAGAACATGTGGACAAAAGGAAGAAATTACAAAAGGAAAGAAAACAAAATTATCAAAACTGGAATTCAGGATCTTCCTGCAAAGAGTCCTGTTACAGACAGTTCACTGCCTCATAGAAAGTTGGCTCAGGAAACATCAACAAGTAAACGTGGAAAGTATGAAGTTACAGAGGGGAATTCTTCTCTGCCGCCAATGCATGCCTTGGGTTCAGATGCCTTACAAAATGTTGGAAGTGCAAAAAGTTCAGACACTTCTCAAAACCCTGATAAGGAATTATCTTTTGCAGGAGAGCTTGGAGTTGATAAAATGGAAAGTATAAGGGATCTTGCTTCTGATAGGTATAAAAGTATGCTAAAAAGGTCAAATAGTGCTTCTGCCTTAGGAAACCAACCTAATAAAGAAGGAGGCTCCATAATTTCAGAGTTTTACAACCCTGAATTTGAGAGGCATGGTGAAGGATTTCGGACGAAGAGTTCTTCTGACATGATTGTTAAGAAAGAGGGGCCGTTAGTTCCTAAGCTTCGGTGCCGGGTATGCTCTTTTGGCTGTAATAATTTTCAGATATAGTATTTAAAAGTCAATTGATTTAGAATCTCTTAATGTGCTGGCATACCCTTTTATAAATCAGAATGGATTTCACTTCTGGGTATACCTGCTGATTGTTGTTTTTCTCTACTTAAACATTGCAGGTTGTGGGAGCATATTTTGAGAAACTTGGGTCTACATGTTTTGCCGTCTATTCGATTGCAGTGACTGATGCGCAAAATAACACTTGGTTTGTAAAAAGAAGGTTTACTCCTTTCACATTTTTTTATAATAGTGGGAGTGTACGATTGATCTTTCTTTGAAATTTAACAAACAATTTAATTAGAATTGGGTTTATACAAAGCATAAGTTTTTTACTTTTGAGTTCTAACGATTAAATAAAATGCCAGGATTTTTTTGGTCTAATTTGCCTCTTTCCCCATTTTGAGTTTAAACTGCTCCATTGTAGAGAATAAATATGTTCAAGTATCAAAATTGTTTTATTCCATTTTTTATATGTGTTTTTCTTAACCACAATTTTTTTGGTGATATTCAGATACAGGAATTTTGAGCGATTGCATCGGCATCTTAAAGACATTCCAAATTACACATTACATTTGCCTCCTAAAAGGATATTTTCCTCAAGCACAGATGATGCCTTTGTACATCAACGTTGCATTCAGCTTGATAAATATCTCCAGGTATCTTTTTCCTTTTCTAAAACATAATCTTAAAAAGACAGTTTTCCTTTGTTCTTATTAAATGAGTTTGTCTTTGCTTAAATTATACCATCTTGCTTCAGGATCTCTTGTCAATAGCTAATGTTGCTGAACAACATGAAGTATGGGACTTCTTTAGTGTTTCCTCAAAGGTGTGTGTCTGCTTGGTATTTCTTATCAGAACTTCTGATGAGTGACTTTTTTATAAATTTTTCTTGGTACTTTTGGATGTGAAAAATGACAATCTAAGTATCTAACAAACTACTTTTGTTGTGTTTTACCCCTGAAGAACTACTCTTTTGGGAAATCTTCTTCAGTGATGAAGACCTTGGCAGGTAACTGGTTCTAAGTTCTAACTTTTTGATTTTATGTCGTCATATTGCAATTAAGTGCTCAAGCTGTAGCTATTCTATGTTTGGTGGCCCAAGCTGTTAATCTTTTGAGTTAGTGGAATTTTGATTGGCAGTTCTGTTTATTAAATCTCTGTAGTCCTTAAACTTTTGAAAGTCTAGTTACTATTAAAAAATAATAAAAAGAAAGATTGGATAGATGTGGAGAGAAAGCTTCTTGCTGTACCGTTCCAGTATGCCTTTTTTCTGCTATTTGATGATTTAAGCCCATGAGATAGAAAATTTTCTTTCATTGTTGTGGAGGATAGAAGGGGCCTAGGCAGCTACTGTATTCTATTATATGATAAAAAAAATTTGTTGAAATTATATATGTCTCTTCTATGTCTTTAATAGATGTGGAGTTTTTATTGGAAGTAAAAACTGTTTTATTGTAGAAAATTCTAAATGGATTTATTTTTGCCTAAATGATAGAAAATGTTTTGCATGAAGACCCTTTCTCTTCAATAATTTTTGTAACATGGACTGGTTTGCTATATGGCTAACTATAAGAGGATTGTGACGCAGAAAAATTATCATTTTCTTGTTCTAAAATCAGTCCTTTCTTTGTTTTCCTATGGTATTTTAAGTATTTATTTTTCAACTCAATCCTAATTTGGAAATGATTTTTTTTAGGTATAGATTTTTGTATTTATTCCAAATTCAACATTTGAACTTTTTATATTAGCAGTCAACGTCGATGATGCTGTGGATGATATTGTACGCCAGTTTAAAGGGGTTTCAGATGGTTTAATGCGAAAGGTTGTTGGTTCATCATCTCTCATAAATGAGGGATCATCTACATCTCCCGCATGGAACTTGTCCTGGAATGCAGATGAAATTGATAAGAGTATTCCAAGGCAAGGTGCTACAGAGAGTGTGTTAAGCTCTGATAATGAGGAAAGTGAAAAGAACAGCAATTTTGACCATGAGAATATTGATAGAGAAGTCACACAAGATAGTGGATTGCATTCCGACAATACATTGATCTCAAAGGGTTACGCATCACCAATGAACAGCCATGGTGGAGAGTCTGGCAACTTGGATCTTGATAGAAAGCGTGATATGGTGGTAGAAGCTAGGATTGGCAATGATGTTCCTCCTACAAATTTCATTCTGATTCAAGATAATTTGTTGGATCCAGTTGGAGTGCCACCTGAGGTCTGTGTAGTCAACTTGTTTTTCTTTTATTCCACATTGCACTTTAGTTGTTGATTGAAAAACTTGATTCTCTGCTCTGGTATTTATTGCTGTGTGCTTAGTTTATATATTAGCTGGTTATTGATTTTGGGACTAAGATGCTGACTAGAATGCTGCTTATTTGGTCAAGCTGGGAATAGCATTTATAACTGAGACATAATGAAAACCACAAAATATTAATACTTCTGTTGCTCCCGTACCTTCCTTTTTTATACAAATAGTGATCCCTCCAAATAAAAAGTAAGAAAAAAATGTGTACTTTAACTGAGTTTATTCATTAGTTGGCTAGAAGGCAGATAGTTTTACTTGCTTGGGTTTTTGTTTGTGCCATCAGCATGTATCCACCAAATATTTTAAGAATCTGAGCTATTATTAGGCATCCTAGCTTTCATAGACTTGGTCAGGTCTTCAAGATCCTGTGACCTCAAATGGTTATGAAATCCTTTGGAAAGAAATTGTTTCCTGTAATTTTTTTTTTAAAGTAAAAGCAAAAGTCAGGAAGCATGAAATACATATTAGTGTTCAAAAACAGTTTGGAAACATGCTTGGTGGTCTCTAGGCCCTTGTTTTCCCCTTCTCTCCTTCTAGGGGGAAAGAATAGTGGTTTGAGAACCAGAAAAAAGCAGGACTGGAGTTGTACATAGGATTTCACTATGCTTAGTGTTTTCAGGATCCTTTCATTTCATCTTCATTTTTTGAGGAGAACCTTTTTATGAACTTTCATAAGTTTGATTTTTTTCTTTTTGCAGTGGGCCCCAGCTAACGTGAGTGTCCCCATTTTGAATTTGGTCGACAATATATTTCAGCTTAAAAAAAGAGGCTGGATAAGGTACACTACTCTATCTGGTTTTTCTGTAATTTTCAAGTCAATAGATGCTAGAAATATTGTCAGTAACACTGTAAAGTGTATAAAAAATTTATTCTTATACCAATGTTCTATGTGATTTTGCATGTTGTTAGAGATTTGCACTTCACCTAACCGCTCATGATTTTAGAATGTTAGGCTCCGGGAAATTATATAAACCTTCGTGATGAAGTGAAATAAAGTCTGATCCTTGCACCCTCTCGTCATTATAATAAATTAAAATTTTGCACAGCATAGTGATGACTGTTCAATTTATGCTTTGTCCATGCTTCAAGCCCAAAGTTCCCCCAAGAAAGACTTTTTATGTAGATCTAGTCTCTGTTTTGTTATAAACCTATTTAGTGCATGTTTGGTTTAGCTTATTTTGGAGAAATAATCACAGTTCTTTCAGCTTCAGAGAGCTTTTGAAAAATAAATGAGTTTTTTTTTCTTCTAAATTTAAGTTGAACCAAACATGCTACTAGATTTTGGCCTACATTTATTCGCTCAAACTTTTACTTGAATACCAAACCCATAATTATCAAGAAGGACTTTTCTTTTTTTCCTGTTTAATACACTAGATGAATAAGCCGCTTGGCTTTCACTCTTTCATCTGCCAGTTCTTCTCTAGTTATTGATAGAATCCTTTCTGGAGTCTTGTCAGTCACATATTACATTCCAATTCCCCCCTGATTTGAAAAGAATGATTTACCAATTAAGCTGCTCTTGTTAGCTCCTTTTTTATAATACATGGCCAATAATCAGCTGGTTTCAACTTTTATGTCATACTTCAACTTTTGTTTCTTTTTGGCTAAATGGATTTGACTGCACAAAATATTAAGTATCATGACACAGTCAATTTGTTTAATTTCACTAGTTGCTAATGTTATCATTTCTGTCCTTGCAGAAGACAGGTCTATTGGATATCAAAACAGATATTACAGTTGGTGATGGAAGATGCAATTGATGATTGGCTCCTGAGACAGATTCATTGGTTCCGGAGAGAGGAAACTGTTGCCCAAGGTATTCGGTGGCTCCAAGATGTAAGCATTGAGAAATACTTTAAACATCTTTTACTGGGCATTTTATGGCAACTCGGTGTAATTAAATGAAGCTTGTGACACAAATTAACAGTAGTAAAAACTAGGCTTACTTGGTTGTCAACAGCCTGATTAAATAACCATTTCTCCGTTTTATGGTGCATGTAAAGCTCTGGATATAATTGTAATGGGCTAATTGCTGTTTTTCATTGACACCATGATTGCACAAAATATTTGTCTCATCAGTATACCAAAGTAGAGCCATATAAACAATCTTGTACCAAAAGAAGAGATGCAAAACCAAGTAAGCCCTGTTTAGAACTGGATTTTTAAGGTTTCCCTTAAAAATCTGAGCATTTCACACCATTAAAACACTGCAAAACTGCATAACTTGGTGGTCTGTCGTAAAGCTTTACCCTTTTTTGCTCCTGCTGAAAGCTCTAAACTAGTTGAACCAAACTGCTTCAAGTTGTGAGAGCTAACCAAGTGTTCATCAAAGGCCAAAAGGTACTCTGGATGTAGTTGATTTCTGGTCAAGCAGTGTTTTTATTAGAGCTGCAAAACTGGAGAGCTTTTTTTCAATACTGATGTCATTCCCTGTTCTTGTTTTTTTGGTTTCTTTTTGTGCTACTTTATTGCTTCCAACTTTGTTTATTACGATTTTTCTTTTCTTTCAAAATTTAAAAAGAAAAATCTATAACCTATTTGCGTAATATCATTGGCTCTTTCATTTTTGTCAAGCTCAGTTATTTATATCCTTAGCTTAATCCATAGCTTAAGTTGTGTGGTGGAGGCCCAAGATTGGTTTTATATCACAAGCCTCTTCATGCAAGAGCCCTTTGGGGTTGAGTTATGATGTTTGGCCCAATGCACAGGCACAGACCTTGGGCTGAAAGTTTTTTGGAAATCCTCCCTTTAGAACTAACTTTTGGGGTTGAGTTAAGCTTAGTCTATTTATAATATGGTAGTAAAATCTATCCAGTCTTGATGACCTGCACAAATGTCCTATCTTGCAAAATTCAGTCCAAATGTCCATTTCTAGGCTTGAGGGTGTGTGTATTAAGATGTTTTGCATTGTTTATGAATATGACCAAAGTACTCCAGTAGTCCAGTCCTTATAAGACTTGGACAATTGTCTCCCCTAAAACTAACTTTTGGGATTGAGCTAAGTCCAATTTATTTCTTATAGTACTAATCACTACCTGTTTTTTTTTATTGTTAATTTGCATTTGATCTAATATTTTGTTAGCTTTTTTCATCTTAAATCTTTTTATTAACTTGTCAAAACTGCCTTCCAGTTTCTATTTTGTTCACTTGCCAATATTTGTTACTTGTGATAAATTAAATAAATTTTGCATTATGAAGTGATACCCATGTCGTTTTTGTCTTTTATGTTTTCTGTTACATCCAAAGAAAATAAATTTTCTATTGCTAGTCTTTCTATTTTTACGAATCAAAGATTGCTGATGAAGGACTAAACACTTATCCAAAATATCTTTATACAAATTTCTTGAACTTGTGTGGAATTATCTCCAGTCAAAAAGAAAAAATTATAAAACAATTTACATTGACTTGTGCAAATGTTTCTTCTTGTGTGCTCATGCTTTCAGGTCCTCTGGCCTGGCGGTACATTTTTCTTAAGAGTAGGGACTCAGATAATCAGTGACGATGATCAAAAGGCTCCTCAAACAGTGAGTGGATCTGGTGGAAGCAACACAAAACCTGACTCAGGGTCTTTTGAGCAAGAGCTTGAGGCTGCACGTAGAGCAAATGACATCAAGAAACTGCTGTTTGGTTAGTTTTATTTCCTGTAGCGTCCAACATTGATTGATATGAGATTTGTTGTTGGATATTCTTCCACTTTGAAGTTTTATTTAAAAGTGCTATTATGTTCGGATTATGATGAAATTAAAACTAACTAATCAGTGTATTTTCTTTAAGTTAACCATAAGAGTGAGAAAATCTATCACGTTTCAGAATATGATGGGTACAGATTTCATATTCATACTATCAAGTGTTTTCCATTAATTAATCTTCTTTCTTGTATATTTTTTCTTCTTCAAAATCTAGTGCTCAAACACCCTGTTATCTTAGAGTAATTTGCACCGACACCTCAAGGTTTATTTGCTGTTGTCACGAGTGGAGTTATTTGGTAATTAGACCCTTTTAATGCACTCATTTTACAAATTGACTACAAAAAGGCAATATTATAGTTTGTCAAAGGTTCAAATTGTTTAATCTAGTTATTACTTCATAGTGATAAAAATGAATAAATATATATAATTCTAATATTAAATGAGTAAGTTTTAAAACTTTTGTTCATTCAATTTTTTATGTCATATGTTATTTGGATCAAATGGCAGCTAAACTTACATAATCACACGCATTGCTTGAATGGCACTACACTTCTATAATTAATTTAAGAATAACTAGACCACAGAGGGTTAATTGCAAGTTTACAATGACTGGAACTAGATGTGATAGTAGTTGGACAAAGTTACAGCATGCATTTATTTTTCCCTCTATGTAACTGAGATGCATATCTCATGTTATTTATATTGCTATGAAAATCTACATGACTCTTAGTCTAGTAAAAAGAGATAGAAAGAAACACAAAAGAACTTTAGACAAAGTTATTAAAAGAGACATTTTAATTAACCAGATTTCTAAAGATTTAGTTTTTTACTTAGCTCAATGGCATCTTGTGATTATGTAGCCGGCCTCACAATAAGGCTTGGTTGTTGTTGTTGCTATGAAAATTTTTGGCTCTTAATGTATTTTCCTAAAGAGAGGTTTTCTGGTGAACTGATATAGTTGGTGAATAAGGTCTTTGAATTGTTATGCTATTTTCACATTCTTTCTACGGTCTTCAGAATATTGTGTTGGTTTAAGTGAATAGCAGTTCCTTTCTCAGAATTTACATCCCCAGACTTTGACAGAAAAAATTGCCTCCGTTTTTTCCAGATGGAGCTCCAACAACTTTAGTCAGCTTAATCGGCCATAAGCAGTACAGACGTTGTGCCAGGGATATATATTACTTTAGTCAGGTTAAATCCATATTCCATCTCCTAGATGTATTCAATTATTTATTTGGTGCGAACTCCATTCTTGTGTTTGCCTTGAATTATTCTGCTTGAAAAGTTTTTTTTATTTTTTTTATCTTTTTGGATTTAATTTCTGAGAATTTGTTTTGCTATTGAGCATATGGTATCGTGTGTATACTAACAATTTTATCATCTTGTTGTGTTTTAGTCTACGACATGTGTGAAGCAACTTGCTTATGCAATCCTGGAACTTGCACTTGTCTCCATCTTCCCTGAGATGCGGAATGTCGTGTTGAGTATTCACCAACCCGTATAGAGTTAGTTTCCATATGTGACATGTAGCATGGCCTGCGCTATGTGGCACATGAAATTGGGTGACCACGTTTTGGTTCTGTTCCCACCATTGCTTTTATGGCTTTGCTGGCTCAACATGATGATATGGGAACTCGGCGATTGGTTTTGTATCTACTATGTCCAACTGTATAAAACTTAGATTTAGGACGTGTACAGAACATTTATTTTGTGGTTCCATTGTGCTTTGTGAAGGCATACCCCATTTCCATGGGGATTTTGTATTGTTACAGACTCGAGAAAGGAGAAATGCATCTAGTGAATATTCTTTATTCGTTCATCATTTTTTTTATTATTATTTGATTAACTTTGTGTCCTCAATAGATACCATAATGTTTTCACTTTTCAGTACACATTATGGGATAAAGACTTTTTAAGTTAGGGGGTTCGCACTTGGCAAGTGGCAACTGCACTGACCCTTGCTAGAGTGGGATGGGCTTCTATATTTTTCATTTCTCATCTTAATAATGAGAAGTTTATTTAATTATTTTAGGATTGGTTACATTAATTGAGTTTTATTAATTTAATATTTACTTGGTATGTATATTTTGAAAATATTAAGATTGTGATTGATTATTGAATAAATTTAATTTCAGTTATTTTTTACTCTAGGATGAGGTATATGTTCTAGTATTTTTCCTGCCAAGTTAGGCTTTAAGGAGTAGTTGAAAGAGCATCCAGGAAACTTGTTAAAATTGCTTCTAATTTTCGTAAATTATTTTTACCTTATGTCAATAATTTTTTTTGTATATAACTCGTTATAAGATTTTTTTAGCTTATTAATTTTGTGATTAAATTTATACCATAAACATTTATGTGACAAAAAATTATGGAATAAATATTTAATTATGTTGTGTAGTCAAACAAACTCTTTATCTCTAACTATAATGGTGGATAAGGTTCAATAAAAACTTGACTTTCCTAATTGCTCAGCATATAAAATATTTTTCTATTTCTTAAATCGGAAAGCAACGCTTTATATATATATATAGCAACGTAATGGCACAAGGAGTCTATGAATGGTATTTTATTTCTAATTATAAATTAGATTTAATTATAATTGGTCTGTTTAGTTTTAATTGTTTATATTTAGTTTCTCAATCTAAAATTTCATCTAATATAACTAACAAAAATATAAAAAAACAGAAATATTATTGATTTGTATAATTAATAAAAAAAATGTATAAATTATTTAAGGAAAATGCTTAATAGTATGAATTTATGTAGCATGAAAGTGACAAAAATTGTTTTCAGCCACCATCACATGATTTTCGTCAAGTAAATGTTCTTTTTAAATTTTAATCATTTAATGTTTAACCAATAAAACTCTAAAAGACAAATTCTTGTCATTTTTCACATGTTATTTTCCATACTAAATAGCACAAATTAATATTTAAATAAAATTAGTAAATAAAATATAATAAAAAATTATTTTTATTTAATTATTTTATATGCTGTTTTCTTTGTAAATTTATATAAATTAATGATATATTATAATTTTGTTATATTTTTATTAATCATTAGATGAAATTTTGGGTGAAATACTTAATTTAAATAATTGAAAAAGTAGGACGACTAAATATAAACAATTAAAATTAAGATAATCAAAATCAAACCTTAGTAAAAGAATTGAGACTAAAGGAATACTTAGACCTATAAATTATTATTTTTATTTTTTTGAAAAGTCCATACAGTAACAGGTTTGCAACAATCATTAGAATTATATTAGAAAAATTATTAAGGAAATAATTTTTTTTATCATACAAGAATAAAATTTTATATTATTATGAAATACTAAGAAAAATTTATAGAAATTATAATATTTTATTTCATAGAAAACTATGTTAAGAAGCTTAACTTGTGTTGGCCTATTTGCACCTCTACACGTAACTTATAATTAATTTAATTGTATTGAAATAATAACTCCAAAAATTATAAATTTAATGTATTAATAATATTAAATTTTGAGATGGAGGTCAAATATTAAAAATAAAAATATTCGATTAAAAAAATACAAAGTTTATGATATTAAAAATATAAAAATTTAATAATAATAATTACTTAAATTCAACTTTAAAAATGAATCATAACAAAATCGTTAAAAAAATATTTTTGAATTGTATTTTAAAATTTCAACACAAGAAATGTGGGAGCTAGTGGCGCTCTTAGTCCCTTTGGAATTTAGAAATTATTTATAATAGAAAAAATTGATTGGCAGAAGGAAATTTGTGTGCTTTGATAGAGGTACTATTTCCCATGGAATAGGGACTCCCGCCATTTCACCTTTCTACGTTCTTTCGTTCAGAGAATGAGAATGAGAACGAGAAAGAGCACTCTGAGAAAGCAGAGCGAAGAACCTTGTGATGGGCACACCGAAGGTGAAGGTGAAGGTGACTCTTCACATTACGAGCAGATTAGGGACCAAAGGATCAAAGAGAACATGGAGAGAATGCACAATCTCGGCTTATTCAACCTCTCCCTTAAGCTCAAAGCCAAACCCTTTAAGAAGAAGAACAAAACCACACTTCACGTCAAACTTTCACCCCAGAGACGTTCTTCCAGGTATTCTTTTCCTCTAAATCCAACCTCAATGCGCCAACCTTCCTTTCTCCCCAAAGCTGTTACCTTTTCCCTTTTTTCTATGCAAATCCAACCCCACTTCCATATTTTTTTTTGGCTTAGGTAATGTTACAGAGACCAGACATCGACATGATTGGCCTAAGTATATTATATAAAATGGTTGGAAGCCCTCTTTATGGATACACAATAAAAAATAATAAGTAAATTTTTTTTATTCAAAATCACAGTACATTATATTATGTATATCTTTTTCATTTTTTATAAAAAAAATATTAAACATGATTCTTATTGCGTCTAGTTTATAAAAGTTGTTTATATATAAGATATCAATATTTTACAGTTTACTCATTTTGTATGTAATAAGATAAAATAACATCTTTTATTTACCCATTGTCATGTTTCACTTTTGTTGACATGACGAAGATTCAAAAGTAATTGACAGGCAAGTCTAATTATATTCACGGGTTTACAGAATAATGAGTTTGGCTCCAGTTAACTATTCTGACAATCGTCATAAGGAAAAGAAGGAAATAGATATTTTTATAGCAGAAGGTGCAAACCCTGAAGTTTACACTGAAGAGCAGGAGAAGCTTCTGGGAGATTGTGAGACTACTTGGGAATTGTTTGTAGATGGATATGATGTGGATGGGAACCGTATATATGATCCAATCAAAGGAGAGACATGCCATCAATGCAGGTGATATGATTGTATATTGATTAAATCACTATGATGCCTTCTTTCCTTGGGGGGGTTTACTGGTTTCTATGTCTACTTGACAACTCGAAATTCTAAGCTTATATCAATAACATGTTTGGAATCACATAATTTTATAAAAATAACTGCTTAATTTTCAAAAGCTTTCTCGATGAGAGATTATTTTTTCAAAATAAGTTGAACCAAGCATGAACTAAATGTTTAACTCTTTTGACCCATGTCCTAGATTTCCAAAATATACCTATTTAAATATACTCTACATTCCAAATTCGTTATCAGAAGCTTTTTTGTCTCATGTTGGATTTTTATTTGGGGGGTGTAACAATTTGATCTAGAACATCATGTGTTCTGTTGCTGCCTTCTTGTGTCCACCGGCTGGAAATCTTGCAATTTAGGAATTGGTTTTTGTTGCAATCCGTACTTGCATTATATACGCCTTGTGAATGGTCCCTTAACTTAGGAAATTGGTTTTACTTGTGTGTTTTGGTTGAAGTACTCAGATTCAGTTCGTAGTATTAGTTAATGTGTAAAATTGACATATCAAGTCTTCCATGTTCCTTGATCAGGGCGAAGTTTTTCATAAAATCATCTGTTTTCTTGCAGGCAGAAAACTCTTGGTCAGCATACTTCTTGCAACAAATGTGAATTACCCCAAGGGCAGTTTTGCGGAGATTGCTTGTACATGAGGTAACGTTGTTTAAGCTGAGGTTCACATTGAAAAAGCAATTAATATAAAACTTTAAGAAATGATAGCATCCATTATTATATTAGTCAACTATGATGAAAAGAATATGGCTCCATCTAAAACTAACAAGCATAGCCTTGTCTCAGCCACTACCATTTTGTCAAGTTTAATGCTACTCATTTTCTAATTTCTAATGATATTTTATAGCTATGGAGAAAACGTGATGGAAGCCAACCAAAATAGCAAATGGAGTTGCCCTCCTTGCAGGGGAATATGCAACTGCAGTCGTTGCCGCAGGGAAAAAGGTTGGATGCCTACTGGCAACATATACAATAAGGTTAGCTATTGCGCAATATAAACATTTGCCTTTTGTTTCCTCTCTGTTGTTCAGTCTTCTTCAGTGTATGGTATAAGAATACTTTCTGGTCATCGTAAATGAGTGTCATTTGGTAAACTGGTGAAAAATCAATTCAGTACTCACATTGTAATAAAAAATTATTGCCAAGATTAATTTTTACTTATATTCCATTTACATTCAATGGTTTCTATCATATTCAATGCTACTTAACTTAAAATGAACATCCTTTAAATATATTTGTTCGATTTTGTTAACTTTAATCTTTACGATTGACTTTAAACATCTAAAAATAATAAATTTTGATTGAAAAAACAATATTTATTATACTTTTGTGTATCCAATGTCACCAATATTTTTTTAATAAAAAGTTACTATTCTTGAATGCTTAAGCAAATATTTGTTTCAACATTCTTCAAAGTCTTTTCCTTTTTTCTTTTTTTTTTCTTTCTGGCAACTGGGGTTTGGGATGTGGTTATGATGGAGCTGATTGTTGCCTTTGAATATAAGGTATTAAAACTGGGTTTCAAATCTGTGGCTCATTATCTGATTAAAACGCATCGCTCCGAGTTGGGCTTGGAAGGCTCAGGTGCTGAAAATAGTGTTGGTGAAGAAATATCGGAGACATCTGCAGATACGATGTTGATTAGACCTACTCGCACGAGGAGGGCCTTGGAATTTGGAAGGTAATCAAATGGACGCAAAGGACATCAAGGAACAACTGACCATGTGAAGATAATGATATGTTTTGAATACAAGGAAAGTTAATATTCTTTTTTTGCTTGATATTCATAACGAAACAAGTTTGTAGTCCTTTGCCCTGAGTTTTGAAAACATTATGCTAAGATGGATTATTAAAGAAAAGTAAACTTGTTGATTCTGTATTGAAATGTGAACTATATTAGTTTTAGTTAAGAATTTTGCATAATCCAACGTGCAACCGAAAGAAGAAAAGATCAAGTAAGGAGGGCAGTGTGAGAGAGCATTCTCTAAACTATCTAGCAAATCCCATTCTTGGGGAGCTCTCTTTCTCTCTTTTATGGAGGTGTTGTTCCTTCTCACTGTTTCTCTCACTCGCCCATTACCTCAACCACATCATTTTTTTTTCAGATATAGTATTTTCATAATAATTTCTTTCAGTCTTCATATCACTCATTTATCTTCTTTTTTTTTTTTTGTGAAATCTCTAATTTGTAAAAAATTATAAAAATTTTAAAGTTTGGACTTGACATATTAGCTTACGGATAATTATAACTTATGTTTAACAAGTTTTAAATAAATTTGTTGTTAATTTAATATTAGTAATAACTATCAATTCAAGCAGAGGTTGCGTGATTGTGTAAATCTTGTGAGAAGTTAAAATTTTCAGTTTCTTTAAAATAATAATAAAACTATGCAAACGGGCTCTGGAAATGAAAACTTATAATATGAAAATGGTGAACTTTTTGTAAAAAAAAAATTATTTATTTAAATTAAAACTCTTGAAAATGATAAGTTTTGAACTTGATATTAAATAATTTAAGTTTAATTTTAAATTTAAACTTATTTATTCAAATAAATAAGCAACGAAATCTAAACATTTCACAAATAGTCTAATACATTCCTTCCTACTACGTAAGTTTATTTTAGGTTTAGTAGGTAATTTCTCTCGTAATTATTTTTGTTATAGTATCATTAGTATTCTATTAGATGATTAAATGACAGCCCAAAAAAGAGATGATTAAGGATAAAACGAAGGTAAACAAGATTGCAGTTGATTGAATTCCCTATATTTTTGAAAGACATCTCTTTTTCCGATTGTGGATCTTTTAGAGTTCCAAAATAAACTGCACCCGGTGCAGTTGGATCCAACGGCTTCCATTAAAAATCAGATATTTACAATTTTTTACAACACGAACTTAAATTTTTAAGGGCCAAGATTGTTTGCAAGAATTTTAATTTATGGTTAGAATGTCCAAAAATTCAAGTGCATTTCGAAAACAGCCGAAATCACTGTTTATAAGTAAAAGCATTAATTGATTGTTGATGTATGAGAATATTCAACTTCTTTTCCATCAGGGGATAAGGCTAGTATAATGAAGGGGGCGAAAGCAACGTCAATGCACGAGCTACAAATTACTCATGTACAATTTAGCACAAATTACAAGATACAAAACACCAACTGTAGATTGTGCGATGCTAAATCGCGTTATCTAGCAGGCAATCGAACATTGATGAGGTTATCAGTTGGCTATAATTTGGAGCAGTAAGAGTGGCGATGGATAAAGGCCTCTCTTCATCATGTTTCTCATTCTATATAATCTTTGAGCTGGTGCGTTCCACCATGGAACGCATTTGTATGAGTGCGCTTTAGTCTCACACTCTAATTTAGCAATTTCCTCAAACAAGTTTCCTAAAATCTACAACCATCTAAGCAAATACCTCATACTATTTTGTGTTGTCTATTCTATATGCTTTTCACCTTAAACAAAAATGTTACAGTCAAACTACGAAGAATAAGTTAACAATGAAGATCGCAGAACAATAACTGGAACGCATTGTTATCCGCACCAAAATAACTCACTCTGATTACTATATACAATTAAATAATGACAAATCCCCTCGTGTATCGTTGTTCCAGTTTTGACATGTTCTGTTCAAAGAATCCCCTCTATACAAGGAAACCTGAAGACAATGTATTTCATCTTGAATCCAACTTTCTCCACAAATGAACTGCTCTCCTGATGATAGGATCTGCTGAAAACCCTTCTGCATAAGCACTGATAGCTGTTAAAAGGCTGTTGAATCTGCTGCCATTGTCCTGTACACAATTTATTTTCACAATGTCAAAGGATAATAGTGTACCTCCAAGCATTTATAGCACTGATATATTAATATATTTAATAACTGTGCAGGGGATTATGGCATTCGATGATGAATTCAGAGATGCCTTCCGATTATAAAGTTCTACTACCACAAACACACCCCCCCAAAAAAAGATCAAATAATTATCCACAAACTTTTTGTTGCTGCATCTGTTCTCAATCTCATCGACCACCATAGTATTAATGCAATGACCAACCAGTTTATGATTGTAACATGGCTATGCTTACAGCAAAAAAAAAAAATGATACTGATATATGAACTTTAAAATAAAGTCCATAATTGGACAGAAAGACCATGCCAAAAACTAATTAAAAAAATACAAATTGAAAGTTTAAACTGCTTTCAATGCCACAAACCTCTGGTTTATTAAATGAGAGATCTCTTACAGCAAATGGTACCATGTATAATGGAAGATCAGACCGCAACAATGCCTGTCAAAATTAAAAGTACTAATCCATGAAGACAAAATTATAGATAGCAGGACAAAAAGATGCTGAGGAATAGAAGAAGAAAAAAGTGTGTGCGAGAGAGAGAGAAGAATATCGGATTCAGATGCTTGCCAGTTCCTTGCTTAAGAGAGCCTGCTTAGCATTTTCAACCAAGGCCTAGAAAGAAAATGGAAAATGATAATATTAGTGTTAAGTGTTGTCATGAAATAGGTAGTTGTGCTGCGTTAGTTTTAAAAGGTAAACTCACTACTATCATCACAGAAGGAGCAATTACATTCAGGTGCTACATGCAACTAGAAACATTACTAATCATGGTGAACCTGACATATAAAGTCCCAACAAGAACATTTGAAACATTACTCAAGTAAAGTTGAACATGAAGCATAATATCAATCCAGAATACCTTTCTAATGCGATCCTCTTTAACTTGATCAACAGATTTCAACAACCTCTCCAATGTGCCTATTCACATAAGTGAAGAGATATGGCTTACAACCAAACACATTCAAGAGTATACAAGGTACAAGATCAAGTAACTACAAACAAATACAAATGAGTATTCTAGAGAGTTAAGTTACTTGGATTTAGGAAATGCTATCCAAGCAGCCAACCAATAAAACTCAAAGTAATTCAAATAGTTTTTTATACACTCAATAAGTAGAACAAGAACCAAACTGTAAAGGGAAAAGAATAAAAAGAAGACACAGTTGCATCTGCAGCAATATAGACAATTATATATAAATTAATGAATTTACAGTTTATTTTCAGGACAGGTGCAGTAAAGGCACCATTAATTTGTGATTTTCTGGTAAAATCAAACACTCCAAAAAGGATAGTGAAAATTCCCCTCTTCCCTCCCATGGGGGAGCCTAACAAATTTATGGGCACCCTCATTATTTTTCCCCTTACCAAGTCTTCTTAGATGCTCATTGTGACAGGCAAATAAAAATGCTTGCTTATTAGATAGGAAGACAGACTATCACAGTAGTTGGGTTTGTAATAATCAAATCAAATCTCAATGTACTGGGTGAATATTGACTTCTCATGATGCCAGAACAAGCTTTACCAATGACTCCAACACTAGATGAGAATGCTCAACTTAAAACAATGTAACTTTTGGAAAAAGGAACTTCATATAACATAAAACCTCACCAAATTTACTGATTAATTGCACAGCATGAACATCTCCAATTCCATTAACTCCTGCATTTATAAAGTATTAAGAATATTAAATATTTGTTAAAAATTCAGAAGCTAATATACTTCCCCCAAGAGCATGTGTGGTACAGTACAACTAAAGTACTTACGCACCTGACATAAAAAAACTAATACTAAAATAATAATCCTAATTAGACATCTTAATACCCATTAATTTCAAAGGTGACAAAAAAGAAATTATGCAGATCCTCAAATTTGAAAAGCTTCTCGGAACTCTCAGTAACACTGTTCCATTTCGTTTCTTATGTTTCAGCAAATGATGTTCGGAAAAGAGAAGCACAAAATAACCTGGAATATTATCAGATCTATCACCAGAAAGAGCAATCAGATCTGCAAACTGGAATGGTTTCAGACCTCCATATCGATTTGCAAAATCCTCAACTCCAAATGAAACCATTCTGTTGAAAAACGGAAACAGTCCAAAAACATAAGAGTAAACTACTTTGTAAATTGTAACTGTAAATAACAATTATACAAATTATAATGCCATTAAAATTTGGAAACCTTTCTGCGGCAGCCTTGTTGCAATTTGTTTTAATATGATTTATGAGGAAGCATATTATTGAATTGTTATCAAGTATGCATCATCAGTATTATTATATGGTAATACAGGTTTTCCATTAGTAGTTTATTTTATTAAACAAAGTTCATGCTGCACGAAGCAATAGTAAGAGATAGAGCAACATGAGTTAGCATAATATTTATATTACAAATAAGGTAAAATCATACCACACACTGTAAGAGCACAGCCAGGGAGTTTAAATGTAAAATCGGTATCTTTCTTTCTCGTACAATTGTTTTCCCCGGAAATGTGATTTTTATATACAAAAAGAGTAAGTGGGAGAAAAAAACAAGTAAAACCCCTTGATTAGAAGATTTCTTGTTATTTTAAAGTCAGAAATAAAGTGCTAAAAATTATTGCACTAAATCATTAGCCAGCACAAGACATAAAGGTAGAAATTATATCTGATACTAACTGATCACCACGTGGAGCAATTCTAAGGAGACGTAACGAAGGAGATAAAATCTGAAAAAAGTCTTTGTCTGGTGAGACAACTCGTACCTATAATCAAGATAAGACAATCATGAGTGGTGGTGACTTAGCATTGCCAGTAAGGGCATTTCCATGAAGAAAGCATAAATATATCAAGGTATTTAGAATTTTATTCTAGCAGAATCGTCCATTGATAAATTGCCCCTTCCCCCTTTCTTTAAAATATAACCATCAAATCCAAGAAGAGTAGAAAACAAAAATTCCATCAAGTCTCATGAATCACGCTAGTAATTAGCATGTTAACACCAAAATAAACATTGACATTAGCTTTAATATCATCAACAAACTGACAAATACATATCAAACAAAACATAATTCAATGGTTATTTTCATCAATACTCAATGGTAATTACCACCAATGGGAGACAATTGACAACAGAGGACTAGGAGAAAAATCTTCAAATGTGAAACCAATACCACAGGAAGGTAGTCCAAAGTAATTTTATTGCAAACCTAAGCAAATTTTAACCTTCCTTATCAAAGCTTCCATGTTACAACTTTATCTTTCTACACCCATTAAATTTAACTACAATGAAATTGATATTTATGAACAATATAATAATCTTGTTTAAAACCAAAAAAAAAATTAACATTTCAAAATTCAACGGATTAATAAATTCAGCATGCAACAATAATGCATATTTGTATGACTATTAGAATAATGAAACAACGGTGCTTAACTAAACCCCCAAAAGCTAGCTTGAGGGGAAAGGATTGCTCAAGTAATTATGAATTTTTGGCCATATACCTAACGTCTGGGATCTTAGCATACCCCCATCTTACACTCAGGACTAGACATCTAGAGTGTGAAGTTTACAAGGCTAGACATCTACGGTATCTCAATATCAGGACAAGATGGGTTGTGAAACAATATTAGAATTGAGCACAGATTGGGTTTAACTCAACTAAGAAACTAGTTCAAGGAAAGAGGATTTGACCATATGCCTACCGGATGTGGGATCTTAACAATAATTACACTAATTAAACTAAATAACACAACATTGACAATTACAGAAATAGAAATGCTTACAAGACAGAAAGAGGTTTTGTATGCAAAAGCAAAACTTTCTTGATGAAATTCAAACTTATCAAGAGGCATGAAATAAATATAAATTACAAAAATAAGAAAAGATTGAAGCTTTATTTATTATAATTATTTTTCTTCATTCTTGATAAGAAATAGCAGCATTTGTAGCATTTTACAATGTGTGCAGCTTTGGTTTTTTATCTGTGTACATGATTTAACACTCATAATAACTTGTCATCATTCATATCTCTTGAGGATTGGTTTTATTCACCAAATGTACACCTAAACTATAATTGTACACTTTCAGTAGGTTAAGAGAATAATATTTTCTCCAAATCTGAAAAGGAACATCAGGGTAAGAGTTCTTGAAATCATGAAGGAGATCACCTTGTACCCAGCATCAACACTCCTTAAGGCTAATGTTCCAATCACATCATCAGCCTCTACACCTGGAACCTATCATCAAATGAATTTATATCAATTATGTACGCCTAAAATCTGTAAGAAATATAAATCCGCAACTTATACTTGCCTCAATGACTTTTATGGACATAGCTTTGATGGATGCTTTTAAATATTGAAGTCCCTGAACAATGGTATCTGGAGTTGGAGGACGGTTGCTCTTGTATGCGGGGTATAGATTGTGTCTAAAATTCTGGCCTTCAAATAAAGTGCACATAAGATTATGATACATTACATTATGAAGCTGTAAAACAAAATGTTGAAGTAATACATGGTCAAAGAATAAAGGTAAATCCCAATTAAAAAGGTATCAAAATCAAAGAGCATAATATAGGATAAAGGCCATGAAAAACCACATTCTTACAGCTTACATTTATAAGCAGAGAGATATTTTGGTCTACCATGAAGCTTGAGAAAGGAATATAAAGATATGACAGAACAGTCCATGAAATACATATTTATATTGAATTACTTTGACTTAAAACGGCTCAGGAAGACTTACACAGGATCTTCATCAATTTGGAAAGGCATACGATATGGTGCCACAGAGATGTACTGTGGAAGGCCCAAGAGAACAAAGGACTATGCATTGCCTATATTTGAGATCAAGGATATGTACAAGGGGATCATAACTAGCTGGACTACACAAGGTAGGGTCACAAAGTGCAGAACAGATTTGCCCATAATTCTAGGAACTTATCTTTTTAAGGAGCATATCCAAACCAGTGCCACAATATATGGTTTTTGCAGATAATATAGTCCTTAGTTCAAGAGTTGAAAGTACATAAATGGAAAGCACAGTTATCAACCTCACATAGCAACGTAAAGCAGCTGACCCCAAAAATGCTATAGAAGTATAGCACATAGCAAGATGGCTATTATTTTGATTCTTTTTATACAAATTACATAATTTCTACTATGTACATATAAAAACAAAAGTTTAAAAAATACTCAAATTTCATAATATATTCATAATTAATAATAATAATTCATAAGTCTTAAAAGAAATATACAAGTAAACATCAAGGAGAGAATTTAGACAAAAATAATGAATTTGGGTCTTTGAGAGACACATGACACAAAAAACCTCAAGACTTGAGAGAACAAATACAACTCAGACAAAATAAAAAAAAATAGAATAGAAAGTCGGTAACCAACAAAACATAAAGAAAAAAAGGACAAAGAGAGAAGAATTGTAATCTGGGGGGACAGTGAGAACAAAAGGAGAACAGGGCCCTTGGCCAAAATGCAGAGTCAGTGGACCAAGAACGTGGGTTCACCAGCAAACACTAGGTGATGACAGGAAAACAACCAGTTCATGGTCAAAAAGTAGCCAGGGAGCAAGGGTTGATGAGTTTCACAGTAACAGAGGGTCAAAGAGAAGAGAGAGCACAAAAATCATAAGAAAAATGTAGGATTTTCTGACTTTTCTCCCAAACCCATTTTATTTTGACCTGAAATCTCCAAATAACCCCAAACTAATGTTAGGCATATTTGCGTTTTGGAATGTCTTCAGAATAGTGGCCCAGGTGGGCACAAAACAATGACAATTGTGACAATTAGAGAATAACAGCCCGCCTCTGACACAACATCTCTACCACACACTATTGACAACCTAGATGGGAAGTTTGAGATGTGGAGATAATCTTTGGAAGCACATGGCTTTCATTTAAGTAGAAGCAAGACAAATTATACACTGGATTATAAGTTTAGCAAGTCAAACCTAGCATAGAGGTGAAAATTGGAAACCAAACCTTACCACAAGTCACATGGTTCAAGTATAGAGAGGGAAATATAAACTATAGGATTAACATATGGTAAATGAAATGGAGGAGTGTCTAGAGTGTTATTTGCAACCAAAAGTACGCACCACTTAAGCAGCTTGAGAGATTTTTTACCATACAGCTACAAGACCTGTGATATATAGAACTGAATCTTGGGCAGTGCAGCCAACAAAAGAATAAACTCCATGGTTTATCTATGGACATGATTCAAAATAGAACATTATGGTGTCATTTAATCCATTTAGCTAACCCAACCTAGAGGGAAAAGGCTACGTTGTTGTCATAATTTGGCATATAAATGCAACTAAAAGGTATTATATTCTCCAAACTCTAGAAGCTAACTTACTTGACAAGGCCCCAAAATAGTTGAGAGGTCAGGGGCAAAGTAAAAGAACACGTTATTTGAGGAAGCCAAATAATTTATGAAAAAATGCACATAACTTTTTTTTTTAAAAAGTAAGCACACTACACTCCATCCACTCTTGCCCATATAACCACAAAAGAATGAGGTGATACTGGTCATATATTCCTATTTCATCATGCAGATACTGAAACTCAGAAACAACATACCTTTTGCAGTAAAACTTTCTTTTGATGAATTACAAGTATGACCAAAAGGAATTCCTGAAATGAGAAGGTTTTCTCTATTAAAATTGTACTTGAGAGTGGCTTTACAAGCCAAAGAACCTCAGAAATGCAAGTTAGCTGCTAGGAAGAAAGAGACGTGCATTTCAAATCCTTAATATGCCCAGATACCACCAGTACATCAACAGCTTCTAGAAGCAATTTGCACTCGACTGAACATAATATTCCTCCTATGCTACTGTCTTCAGAGATCGTAATAAGTTCCATCTAAATACAACATCCTTTATTATCAATGCAAGAATTGGTGGGGAATCATGAAACAAATAGTATTTATTTATCTATTAATGTTTTCAAGTGTAGAAGACTCCTTTCTCTTCAGTTTCTAACCAAACTAGTGTTGTTTCCTGAAACGCTAATGATTGACACCCAATTATTTTCCAGTTATATTGGTCTTTTATGGTTAAGGTAAACCATGATATGAATGCATTAGTACAAGATAAGATGTCAAAACAGAAAGAACTCAAAAAGCTTGCAAGAATAGTATGAAAACATTCAACCACATTAACTTTTCAGGACAAATCTCCTATTGTAATTTTAAAACAAACACCTAATACTTCAGCAGGAACTGCAAAGGTAGACCAGCAGAAACAGAGCACTGGCATAAGCAATACTCCAAGCCTTAGTGAGGGATGTAGCACAAGGATCTTTTAGCCTAATGTTCAACAACAAATCTTAAAATACTTCATACGAAAGAAAAGAAAACAGAGTAAGACCAATATTGCTCATAAAGGATACTGTATGGCCTGCACATGTTTAATCAAACTCAACCACATCAAATTATTTTATTTCCATAATCAAATTGACACATTCTTACAGCATGTTTGATTTTTATTTTAAAAACAATTTTCTGTTTTTAAAAGTAAAATATAATATAAATTTGTATTATATTTTACTTTTAAAAACAGTTTTAAAATAGAAATCAAACATGCTCTTACTTTTTTTTTCTTTCTGTGTTTATCTTCTCAGTGACTTCATAAGACATAAGTGTAGTTGTATTAAATTCTTTTTTTACAGCGGAATAAGTTAAAAATGCAGACCTAATTAACAGGTTTCCTCAAGTTAAAGACCAAACAAACAGTACCAAAGTTATGTTGGCAACCACTCTTCTCTTTCCTTCACAACCACATTTCCAATTTAGGGCTTCATCCATTATTTTTATGTCTATTGTGCTATCTTTATATCCCATGTTTTGCCCACCAGCATCTTTATTGTGATTGTAGATTTGTAGTCAATAAGATTTTCTTTTTATGATATTCTTTCGTAAATAGAGCAATCTTAATTCAGTCAAGGAAACCAACACTATCTCAATTAAAACATAAGAAGAACAATACTGTGTCATCAATTTATGCATAAATAGTAAAACAGTCCAGAAAAGAGGAATCAAAATGATAAAAAAAATCTATTAGCATGAAGGATTTAAGAGGAAAAAATATACTAGCAAATGTAGATGCAGAATTTTATTACTCACCATCATGGTCAAACACTACCTGCATGCAAAAGGAACCAGACAATATCAGTAAAATTAACTAATTGTATACCTGAGAAAAAGAATAAATAGAAATAATAGGAAAGAAGTTGTGATGATGAACAAATTTAAGGAAATACATGCTTTTTCACACACATAAATTCATGATGACCAAAACTTACCACCACATGGGAAGGGATAAATTCCAGAACATCAATTATCTGCAAGAAAGATAACCAAGAATAACTAAATGATAAAAATAACATATATCAATCTTACAAAATCAATCTTGTCTAGGTATTCAACCACAGTTAAAATAATTATATGCATGTTGTAATGTCAATTAAAACTAAAAGAAATTTGTGGCTCCATTTTGAATGATTTCCAAGAAATTGGCATTATTTTTCTCCTTTCTTGATTGAGAAAAGAGCACTACAAAGTTTCTTCAATGCAAATTAAAATTATTGGTCATTAAGTATCTATGGTTATTCAAGAAGATAAGTGAAAAATGCTGCGGAAAAGTTAAATTATAGCTCTCATAACTCATAAGACCATGTGTTTGCAATTGCTGACACAACAAATACCATTATTAAATTAGACAAATGGTTTATTATATTATAAAGGCGTGAATACTATTGTACAACCATAAGACCCGTATGACAATGCCTAATATTAGAAGTTGATATATAAGATAAGAATACAAGAGAGTTTCTCCTAAGATTATACTTATCGGCATACTTTGATAAGTATTGTAAAAAACTATTAATTCTACCTAACAACTTAATCTTTTACTCTAAACATACTGATCAGCTTCCCCCAAAAAAAAACAAAAGCCAAAACCCTTCCCCTTTCCTTGTTTGTTGGAACAATTGCTCTTTGAATTATCTTGTATTTCATGTTTACTTCAACTTATTCATGAATAGCATTTTTCTTTCTATATTATTATCATTTAGTTTCATGGATTGCAAATATATTATTGAGGTTAAGATTTATTGTTTAGTTTAGACTTATGTGTCACCAACTTCAATAACAAAATACTTGATTTCAAGGCTTTGATAATTACCGCTCCATGTGAGCAAATAATGATTACTGAAAGTGATACAAAAATTTCTCTCAATGAAAATAACAGAAACTTGAACAAAAAAAAGCAAAATCTTGATAAATCATGTCTACAGTCTACTTCATTCCGTGAATAGGCTATAGCAAATTATCTGGAACCATATTTATCACTTCATGTTTTTCACAAAAAATAATAATAATAATAATAAAACAAGTGGGGTATTAAAAATAGTATATATCATTAGATGTTCATGTTTCTCACAAAACTCAGAATAGTCTTGATAAGGAGCAAATGCTCTTCATCTGTGGCTCAATTGTTCAGAGATCAATATAGAAACATAACAGAAACAAAGCACCAAGATAACAAAAAAATGATCCCAAAAGCATAAATGTACACAAAGTCTACAAATTAAAATGAGAAATAAAAAAAAAAAAAACAAACATCTACATATGCATCTATGTCTATACAGATGACTTACAAGTGATAGTGCTGTAAATATTGTTAAAACCCAATCTCCATTTCCATCGGCATGTGTTAGATGACCATGGTGCAACTTTGCTATCACACCATGAAAAGATTACCAACAATCAGTTACACTCCTCAAACAAAACCCCAAAATTTAATATTAAAAAAAATGAGAATAATAGGAAACGAAAACACCTTTTAATTTTATCAATAGCAAAATATGCACATAAATGCAAAAGTTTTCCCGAGCACGTCACATAATTAAAACCCTCTAGTTCAAAACCTACAGTAAATGCAAATCTCCAAACACAAAAACGAAGCTAACACGTTTAAAAACTCATAAGATAAGATCACGATGTAGCAATTGGTCCATAGAACATTCACTACTCCCTAGAAGAGATAAGAAGAAGCAAACAAACACTTCTATGTCAACTACAATGTGCAAAGAAAATGAAGCATACCTAAAAGCTTGTAGTATGCCCTATGAATAATCGAAGTACCATCAATGAGCATCACTCTGCCATTTAAAGGATCAGAGTTTTCCACACGTTCGGCATTGCCAACAGAACCGAGCTGCAGAGCTTGAACCGTTCCAATTTCAGCGTCGGAAACCAACGTTTCGGTACTTCGTGAATTTGCAGTAACAACTCCAAGCGAATCCGAAGTTGCACTACAATAGCCCTAACGAAGAAACGCAAAAAGTCAAAAAAACTTCAATAACAAGAGCACAGCACAGACTCTAATAATAACTTGTGAATGCTTCACCTTCAAGACTAGCGTGCGAGAAGAATGAAGCAGCTTCGGCGTTTGAAAAGTGCGAGTGTAACTCCTAGTGGTGACGCTTCTGAAACCGCGTTGGCGCTGGAATGGAAGCTTTTTCCATAAGGAAAACGAGTGAAGAAACAAATACTGGTACTTATAGCAGCACGCCATTCGTAAATTTTGTTCCTATGGCAGCAGAAGCAGTAACAGCATTGAAGTTGAAGCAAGCGACAGCATGTCCAAAGAGAGAGAGGTTGAGGGGGAGAGAAGTGGAAGGGAAATGAACCTTGCAGTATTTTTGTCGGAATGGAGAAGGAGCTTTAAATGGGCTGGGCCAGCTGGCCCATTGTTTTTATTCATACACGAAAGCCCAATTAATGGGAACAAAATTAGGCCCATTGTAGTTAGGGATTGTTATTCGTTAGTTTCGTCTTCTTCAACCTCAGGTTAGTCGAGCTTTTCACTTTTGGCGCTCTGTGCTGACTCGTGAGTCTGAAAAGCCAAAAGTGCAGTTCTAGGGTTTGGTGGTGAAGAACGGTACAGAACATAGAATGGGGAAGAAAGGAGGTAGAAGTTATCAGAAGAAAGACGTCGAAAGCTCTAAAACAAGTTCGCGATACAAGCGTGATGCTTTTTCTAGTGATGACATGGACGACGAGATTGATGCATGTAACTCTATTTTCTTCTTCTTCTTTTTTCTTTTTCATTAATTTATTTTCCGAGTAAAAATGTTTTAATTTTTGGATGATTTCGTTTACCATGACCTGCACTTGGATTTGTTATTGTTCTATTTCTAATAATTTGTTTTTAATTATGAATTTGGCTTGCCTGTTGCTGACTCACTTATGTAATGTTTTGGTTTCGCAGTTCATAAGCAGAGGGACATTATCCCCCTTGACATAAATGATGATGCTGGAGAATCTGATGAAGATGAGGAGCTCCCTATTTTCGATGTTAAGGTTTTGGTGCTATAAGCTCTATTTATTTTAACTATATGAACCTCTGTTCTCTTTTAACTCAGTGAGACAGGAGATGTCAAACTTTTTATGTTCAATTTGTTGGTTTAATAATTAGAACTAGACAATTGATGACATCTTTTTTCATTTGTATAATTTTCCCTTGTTTCTTTTCCTTTCAAATATTGGTTAAAGGATGTTGACGAAGATGAAGATGATGATGATGATGATGACAGCAATGATGAATATGACGAAGATGATGACGATGATGTGGCAAAAAGTAATTACAATGTTGTATATATTTTTATATTTCTTCGAATTACTCCATTAAATTTGATAGAGATGGATGATGGGATTTTAGTTTAGACCCAGTTCATATGTCATTTTTATGCATATATAACGTTCCTACCCAAAGGCTGTATCTCAAGAGTCTGCTGGACCATGAGATTAAATCTCAATGCATGCCTCTTCTGTGTACTTCTGAAAGGATGGGTGTAGTGGTATTTCTGAAACATTGAATGTCAAATAGTCCATTTTATTACAATTTTCCATTAATATAGAGGGTATTTAGTTTCTTGCCACTGACATAAATAATTTCAAGGCTAGTATTAATTTTCAAATTGTTTTTGAAATAGAAACTAAAACAATACAGATTGACAAGTTTTCCATTTGTTAGTATATATTGTTTTACCTACCCCAGTTTTTATAAAATATTATGGTCGGTTTGAAGCATGGTTAGTTAGGCTTAAGTTAATAAGCAAAAATCAGAGCAAATTTAGACTTAAATAGTTGTAGATATAATTTTAAAAAATAAAAAGCACAAATACGTACCCTATGTTGCTTCTCAATTTTAGTCAATTCATATTGGACATTCTGCATTCCATCAGAGGTACATTGATATTTAATAATCATGTCATAATCTGTTGAAATTCTCAGTTATTATGGTTTGGACTCATGAAAATTCTTGCTTATTTCCCTCTGTTGTGCAAGTTTTTGAAGTGTAACTTCACTAAGTCTTTGTGTATGTTGTGCTTAGTGATTAGGCAAAGGAAATATTTACGTGCAAAGTTTGGTGAAGCTGAGGATGAAATGCATGATGATGATGATGAAGAAGATGAGGAAGATTATAAACCTATTTTGGGTGGGAAAAGATTCTCACATGGTGCTGAGAATCGTAATTTTGAGGTGAGGATTTGAGCAATGAATATTTGAAAAAAAAATGTTGCCATATGTAAACATTTAAACCATTGATGAGTCTGTTCTTCTGGTGGATCCATTTAAATAGACTATTTGTTTTCTGATGCATTTTATTTTTTCTGTTGAGTAATTGTAAAATTTTGGTTTAAGCTACAATCAAGTGATGATGAGGCCCCAAAAGAAGAGGAAGAATTGGCATTGCAAATACAAAGGGAGAAGGCAAAATCTTTAACAATGGAAGACTATGACCTTGTGGATATAAGTGAAGACAAAGATAATGAGAAATTAACAATGAAGGTGAGTGCTGCTGATTATCTCATTGGTTTGTTAGTTGTAGTCAATTTCCGTATCACTAGAGGGAAAATGTAAGGGAAGAAAGAAGGAATGATAACAAAAGACAATGTATATTGAAACATACGATTATGAGATATAGACATATAGTATCTGTCCACAAAATTTTATTAAGCTTCTGTATATTTACAGGATGCATCAGATAAAGGCAATGAAGCAATAAAGTCACTGGATAGAGATATAAGTTTCAATGTGGATGATCTGAATGCTTTGTCAAAGGAGGAGCAAATGAATATCTTACATAGGTTAGGATGTTATCTTTATCTTTCGACCTATTGATTATGTGTTGTAAATTATGATGTTATCATTTCGTAACCTAAGGTATCTAACAAGTTGATAGATGTAGCATTCATTTCATTCATAACTATAAGTAAACTTGAGATTAAAAATTTGATTTCAAGAGTATGCAAATAATGAATTGTTAATCTAACACTGAAAAAAAAAAAAGAATGCTCTAACGTAAATTTCATTGAAAAAAATGGAGAAAGGGAAGGAAATCTTGTGTTTGTCACATTTTTCCTCTATCTGAGAAGTCTTTAGTCCGGTAGCAAGTGACAGTTATCTTCTGAAAATTAGGTGAACAGAAAAGGAAATATAATACCTTCAAAAGATTGAGGACCTCAGTACAAAAGTATGCTAACCCAAAATAGAAAATAAATAAAAATGACCAAACAAAACTGAGTAAGAAAGAAAATGATTGAAAGAAAGGAAATCTAGTGTTTGTCCTGCTTTATGGAAAGAGTCTTGAGGGTGAACAATTCAAAAGGGGAACCTTGAGGAAATCAGCAAAAATGTGAGTTATTGCCAGCCTTAATGATTTTACACATGCAGTTCTCACAACCAAATTTAGTTAAAGCCAGACATAAAAATACATTTAATTATTCAGCAGAACATTTTTTTTTCTTTGTTGCCATCGCTTGGAGGAAAATTGCTTTTGAATGAAAGGATATGTTGAAATGTTGCATTACTAATTGCCTTTAGTCTTTCCCTTGGAGTGTAAGTTTTTGAAATGTAGTAAAAAAGAGACCGTTATGCAAGGTAATCCTGATGGTAAGGGCATATTTTAAATTAGCATTCAGCATTCAAATGTGTACTTTTCATCCTAACAATCAATTTCTAACAATATTCAGTCGTAATTTTCAGCTTGAGAGATGCTGTTGAATCCTAAAAGAATTGGATCAGCAGTCAAATCCCTTAATTGAAGTTATTCACCTACCATGCATAGCCTCTTCGTTTTCTATCCATAGCTTTGTGTAATTGCTACCATATTCACTTTGGAATCAGATATCCAGATATATTTGTATTAAAACATGTCTATGTCAATGTTATCACATAATATATTTTCCTATGCTTCTCCTTGACTAGTGACTATCTTCTCTTTGCAGGTCTGCTCCAGAGTTACTTGGCTGGTTATCAGAACTAAATGAAGCACACAAACAGCTTGAATGTGTAATTAAGCCATTTTTTAACAAGGTTTTTCCTTCCCTTGTGATTTCTCTGTTTTTTCCTGATTCATGGCCATGCAAACCATGCAAAAAAAAGTTTTGTATTAATTGAAAATACTTATTTTCTATTGGAGTAGAGCCAGTCAATTTATAGCTATCAATAATATCTCCAGAGAGGCTTGCCTGTGATTGCCTGTCATATTTTAGCCTTGGGTTTTCTTATTTTATTTGTTCTACAGAAATGTTTTCCCTCTTTTAGAGGAATTATACTACCATTATAATTAGTGTAATTATTTTTTATTTTTAAATGTTTTGAAATCTGCCTCTTGATCTTTCCTTTGTTATGGTGTTATTTAGAATAAAAATTCTTTGGCCTATGCCCTTCTTTTCGTAATATAGACTACCTTTTTTTTTTTTCTCATTTGTGGTAATTATGCCCTCCCCCCCTTTCCCAAATGTGACTGAATGCCATATTGCATTACAAATAATTTTATCTTTTGTGAAGATTAACAAGGGGGAAATAGTTATGGAAGAAGGAGTGCGATATTTTGAGTTGAAGCAGCTTATTTTGCTGTCCTATTGCCAAGCTATAACCTTCTACCTTCTCCTCAAGTCTGAAGGGCAGCCAGTCCAAGATCATCCTGTAATAGCTCGCCTTGAAGAGATCAAGAAATTATTGGATCAGGTCTTGTTATTCTCAAACTAACATCAGTGACTATAAGGATCTAGTTTCCAAAGTCATTTACTTGTCATATGAATGTGGTTGGCATATTAGATGGGAAGCCAAAATATCACTTTTAATGTCTTGACTTTCTTGTATACTGGATTGTCTATTACTGCAGTAAACTGGAAGTAGTATACGCAAGTTATAGACATTGACAATGATATTGCTTCAGTAGTCCTGCTTTATTAGAAAGTCAATGGTTTAACTAAATTTATTGGAATTTCAATGCTTATATTAGATAATTTATCATGTTTCATATACCCGATATTGGTAGGCTTGCTTACAAAATGGACAAATTGGCATAACGAATGCTAGATTAATGTATGAACCGTCTAACATGATGTCAACGATTCTGCATGATTATCTGTTGATATTTATATCATTGATGTGCAATTTGCACACAAATATCAGATTTGAGATGAAGTTTGTGTTATTTAGATTTTGCAATTTTCTAATGCGTGCCCCTCTCAACAGATAAAACAACTTGACACAAAACTTCCTGTTGATTTTGAGGACATTATTAAAGGAAATAATGGGTTAGAAAGAGTAGTTAAGTCAGATAATGATAATGCTCCCTCAACAAATGACTCTATCACTAAAATCCAAGAGCCACCTCTTGTCTCTGCTAGATCGCCTGAAGAAAAAGTGGTAGTCATCACTTCTTACTCTTGGCTTATATATTTATCTGTCTTCCAAATGGTAACCTTAAAAAATGTTCTCAACGGTCAACATTTTTTTTATGAATTGTTGCAGCCTAACAATGAAGGTGAGATGCAAAAAATAGAATCCTCAAAGGATGGTGTACAGAAAACAGGAGAAGTTAAACATCAGGTAAATTATGGATCATGACATATGATGTTGTATCTTTGCTTTGATTCTATTGATTATTAATATAATATACCGATGCAGTTATTAGATTTATTTTGAAGGGTGCAAAAGTTATTAATTTAACTGAAATAAACCTTAACATGGCAGAAGGATCACATTGGTGTACAGAGTTTGGAAATGCTAAAAGTTAGAGCTTCCCTTGAGGAAAAACTGAAACAAAAGGGTCTGTATAGCTCCATTGCTCCAAAGCCTAGTAAAGCAGTAAAGCGATTGAGACCAGTTAATGGGTATAACTTTGCTCTTATATCCTTTATATTAATTGTTTCAAGCATCTTGTAATTTATTAGATACTTACAAATTTCGCAGCCAGCTTGAAACATATGATGATTTTGATGACGATGTTGTGGATGCTAAGGGGGAAGCTGGATTGGTTAATGGTCTTGGCTCTAGTAAAGTTTCACAACTCCTTAATGCTATGAAGAAACGCAAGGTACTGAATTATAAATTTTTGCATGGTGAATGCTGCTTTGAGTGATTTTGAATTTCATTTGCAATTCATAGTGACATGTATTCTTAAGCTACTTTAAAAGCCGTCATTTTAACCAACATACATTGGTTTGAATGGAAGGACTTGGCCCTTAAGGATGTTTGGGTTAAGGGTTAAATCCCATGATATGGAAAATTATCATTGGCATGGATCCCGGCCTTTGGTGCCCAACCACACCCAAGACTTGGTCTCGCACCTACTAGGTGGAGGGATAGTCTGGGAGACCAAAAAGATGTCATTTTAAAGCTATACCTACTACTATGAAATAAAGTTATATCTGCAATCTGAATAAGATAAATCTGGTGCAGAAAGTCCTACTTTGACTTAATCTGTTTGTTTTGTTCATAGTACATTCAACAGGTGCCATAGTCTTCTCTAATGTTGGCAGATATTTCAGTATATTTACATCGTGACTATTTTGTGCTATACTAATTATAAATAGAATATTAGGAAAAAACGAGATTGACCACTGTACAATGAGCCAGCCTACTGCCAAATTTAGTTATGTTTGTGTAAATAGTTGTGCAGTATCTGTAGTCTGTGCTATTGATGATGCCAAAAAAAAAATTGTCCATTGTTTTAGGCTGCAGAAAATTTCATTTTCATATCCATTGCTTTTCAAACATCTAACTGATCCCATTTTTGGGTAAGGTGGTTTCTGGTGATGATGATTTACCAAAGAGAGATGATATTGGTGAAAGACGAAGGAAACATGAGCTTCAGGTGTTGGCTGGGGCTGGAATTAAGACTGAGGATGACGATGATGATGGTGATGATCAGATGGGTGATCTTGAACCTAATGACATTACCGATGAAGAGGATGGTATAGAAAGCGGGGACTCGGAAAATGAATTTTACAAACAAGTGGAAGAACTGGGAGCTGCCAAACTGGCTGCAAAAGCTCCGACATACTCTAGGTGAAGTTTTGGTACCCTTTTGGCTTTTTTGTGACTTGTTCAGGATATATTATGCTATAATATGCCTTTGGAAATTCAATTTTATTTTTGCCTCCTCTTTAAATTTGGTAATAGAAATGAATTTGCTTTTACAGGAGCACTTCCGTCACCACTTTGCCAGAGATTACTGTAGATGGAAAGCGTCAAATATCTTCTCAGGTTCTTACTCAATCTATTTTGGTTTTTAATTGAACTGTTCATTTCTGACAAATTTGTTAGTTCTTACTCTGTTTTCTATATGCTGCAGATGGAGAAGAACAGGGGATTAACTCGAAATCGCAACAAGGCAAAAAAGAATCCCAGGAAGAATTACAAGGTACTTTGACTAGAAGCACTTATTCTCAGTGGTTAACTACTCAAATTTTGTTCATTAACTGGTGTCTTTCTTGTTTGCCATTTGTCTTTTTCTTGCTATCCCAATGTGCAGCTCAAGCATCAAAAAGCTGTTAAGAATCGCAAAGGACAGGTTCGGAGTATCAAGAGGCCCACGGCTCCATATGGTGGGGAAGCCTCTGGAATTAATGCAAGTATCAGTAGAAGCATCAGATTCAAGAGCTGATATTGTCAATGAACTTTCCGGTATCGTGCTAAAGTTATTCAATTTTGATTCATTTACGTAGATGGAAATATTTTGTTTGACTTTTATTGCAACGGTGGAAGTATAACCTTGTGCAATTATTGAGTGAGAAATTAGCATATTTGGCGTATAAATTTTTGCAAATTTGCAAGTTTTTGTCCCAATTTTTTCAGAGTAATGTGATATTTTTACTAGTCAACTTTGAAGTGACAGCAAACGAGCTCAAGATCTCTCCGGCTTGAACTTCCCAAGAATTCTGTTGGGCTCAAAGTATTCGGGGTTACTAATTTCTAAACTTTTCTAAATGGTAAACAAAAAATAGTAATTATATTTTGACGAGTTACGTTATTTCTCAACGTAAAAATTATCTGTTCGTATAACTCAGTAAATTTTGTTGATGCACATCCAATACACTTTTAAGAATTGAATACCATCACAGTAACAATTATTTTTAAAATCATCGTACATAACATTCTAGGAAGCATGGAGCAAGGACCAGATGGATTGATAAAAAGTTGTTTGCCACTTGTTTTTCATTCTAATCTTTATAAGGCACTTCTTTTTTTAATTCATTTTTTACAGTTTTCTACAAAGATTAAGAAATTTTAATATTTAATTTTTATTGAAGTATTAATCAATTTCATGTTAACTCCTTATTTATCATATTAATTAATATGGGTTACTAGAAAAAAAATGTATTTTGAAAAATAAAAATACAGTCTTCAACCAAACACATTAATTATTATGGGTAAAATCATATAAACAAAAAAAGCAATTATTCATTGAGTTTATAAAAGGAATACGATAAATAAATAAAACAAGATTACTAAAATATAAAAGAAAAAAAATATAGGGACTACTTTTTATTCTAGTTTTAGCAAAGCTAATCAACAGTATTCTAGAGGAAGATTTTTAAAGAGAAAAAGAAAAACCAAAAGACTAAAGAAAAAATGATATAATTAAACTAGTGAACATTTCTATCAAGCACAAGAGTCAGCTAAATACATAAAATTCAAGCTTGAGCCTTAAGCATAAAAAGTTTCATAAGAAAATACTTGTAAGTAACAAGTGACTCCAAATAAGTGTTAGTGACATTTGATGTCCCTTCAAACTTGAGAGAAATTTGAAAATTAGAATGTAAATAAGTCGAATTGAATACTTAAAATTTAAGATTCACTCACAAAAATAAATATTAACTCATTTTTTTAAAAATAAGTCAAAGTTAAACTTTAAGATTGATTGGTTAAAAAAAATATAAAGCTTGTGCATAAATAGCATGTGTTATTTAGTTTATTTATAATTTAGCTTATTTTCATTTATCAAATAGACTTAACTCCCTAAAATTAGATATTCACTTTTGAAAATAATATAAAGTTACAATCATTGACTAAATTAACATCTGTAATTGTGATTGAATCATGTGTAAATATAACAAATTATTTAGTTATTTAAATCTCAACCATTATTTTTCACTCAACGATTATAATTATTCTCTTTGATCTATAAAGTGAATTCAAATTAAATATATTCTTGATGTGTTCTTCAAGTTTGATAATTTATCATTCAATAGATAGTTTCATGTTAGAAGATATAATAAAAGTAAAAAAAAAAAAAAATAATATATATATATATAAAAATTATGCAATGATACTTTGAGATGAAAGTACAATATACACTTTTTAAGTATATCCTAAAGAAAATTAACATTTTCATCACTATATACGTAAACACAGGATTCGTGCATTTTTTAATGTAGACCTGTAAACTTGGACATTCTTTAAATAATTGAACCTTTACTTTTATTTAAGCTTATTTATTTATTAAAAAAACAGATTAGATATTCAACAAATTAAACTTGAATAATTCCAAATAGCTAAACTAAATTACATCCCCTGTTTAAAACTATCCACGAAAGTTTCATTGGTAACACACTGACGGATGATACATTAGTATTTAACATTTGACTTTTTAAAAGATTAATTTAACAGCTCATCATAGTTTTTTTCTGGAAACGGGGTGACTAACGTTTTAAGTGTCTGAAGAAAACTCCGAACGGGTACTGGAGAAAGGGTAGTCCCATCGCCCCACAGAAATTAGTGGAACGGACAACAGAAAATCATAGAACAGGTTTTAAGGTTTATGCATGTGGTATTTTATTAAAAAAGAAAAAAATGTTTCTTTGTTGGATATACTTTTGAGCTTACGTTTATTTTTACTGGTGAGTGCGTGCGCACGCCCCTGTGCTTATAATTTCGCTTCTCTTCCAATAAATACTTCTAATAGGTGGGCAAAAGGAGATTTACCTTCTACTCTCCCCTTTTATATCCCAACCGGAAACTAAAAAAAAGCACAAACCTACAACACGGCATCAATCGCCTCATAATCTGAACAAACCAAAACTGCCTAAAGTTTGCGGCTACGGACGTGATACAATTAAATCTATTACAATGAAAACTGACGCCTCGAATTTTAAGGTGTTATTGCAGTAGTAGAAAGCAATTTAGAATGCGTCAGGGAGTACTGAGTAAATCACGAAGAACTGGCATCAGAAGCAGCCTTTTTCTCCTTTTGTTTCTCCCTCTTTTTCTTGTTTCGTAATGCATTCTTGCTCATTGATCTAAATCAATCAACGATTAGCAGTTAATAACAGAATATAAATCATGAGAACTTAAGAAGCATAAAAGAAAAGAAGTGGGAGGAGGGGGGCCAGTACTTACTCTGCAGGACTCTCTCCAAACAACTGCAAGTACAAATTATTTTGGCATCGTTAGAGACATCAACTAAAAAATGAAACTCTAGAACCAAGAATTTAAGGGAAGATACACAAACATGTATATACAGGACTAATTTGACATAAGTGTCAAAACAATCCATAACTATGTAAAACCTATTTCAAGCTTAAGTATTGCTTAGCATTTATATTGACAACTAAAAATCGAAACGACAAACAGACAGAGAATCTGTGATCGTGTACCTCTGCCTGAACAGCAGCTGCACTCTTAGCATGCGGTGGACGATATGCAGCAGGTTTTTGTGTAGGGGGGTTGGCAGAAGAGGCTTTTATGGAAGCCTGGGTTGACTTTGGTCCTTGCCCTGCAACTAGTAGTCCATGGTCATTAAATAACGAGATATAAATCATGACTAAATGAAATATTATAAGCATGGCAACAAACCTGATGGTTTTTTATCTTCAAGTTGTACCAAATGGAGAGACTGAATTAATTCAGCAATATCACCAAACTTACTAGGTGACTCTGGTTTCCAATCGGCCTGCAAATAGTTTGCATACAATTAAATAACATCTGCAAAAAATGATAAAAAAAAGTTAATCAGTGAAAGTTCAAGCCACTGCTGACCTGGTACAACTTGTCAAACATCTTCTTGAAGAACAATGACCCATTGTAGTGAAAAATCTTGATCCTTCAATAGAAGAAAATAAAATATCACATAAAAATGTTTTCTTTTCAAACGTTAAGGATTCAAAAATGAAAATGTTTCCAAAAACCAACAATTCTTCCACAAATTATTTGGGCTAGTGACGTATTGTATCATAAATGTTCAAATTAATCACTATGGACTTCTCTTAAATTATGGGTTAAATCTAACACAACTTAAAAGACTAACTCGTAACGTGAAGATTGTGTTAACCTTTGTACCTTTATAAGCTCTAGTTTAACTATATTTACAGTCAATCGGGGATTTTAACTCACATTACCCGCACCCAAAAATTAAACAACTATAACGTGAATATTATACAACTAGTTTTTTATTTGGGAGCCCAGTTAGGTTGCACTATGAAAGCCGTGACACTGGCAGTATGCACTGAAAAATCTGAGACTAGATTAATTGCACTAAAAAAAATTTGTGGAGCCATGTTTTCAACAGCCAAGGTAGGTAGCTCAATATTGGATATTTGGATCTACAATGTCATCTTAAATTTGAACAGGAATCCAACTCAACTCTAAAGCTAACTCATAAGGCAAGGATTATCTTAACCTTTGTAAGTTATAATTTGACTATATCTATAATTGATGTGGGATCTAAGCATCTTTACTATGGAGATTACAGGACTGATTTTTTTTATATATTGCATTAGGAAAGTTGCAAGACCAGCTAGGTTACAATAGGAAATCGCAGGACCACATAAGTCGTGTTGAAGAAGTCCACAGGACAGGACCAAATAAATTGCAGTAAAAAAATTGTCGAGTCAATTTTTTTTATAGCCAAAGGTGGCTGAATATCAAATATATGATATATTTTGATACGGTATAAAATTTAGACTTAATCCAAAGCTAATTCATAAGGTAAGGATTGTCTTAACTTTTATAAGTTCTACTTTAGTCATATTTGTAGTCAATTTGAGATCTTAAAATTATTAATGTCTTACACTAACAACAAAATAATGAGCAGATAATGGGTAGACTGTAGACCAAAGTCCCACTAATAACCAGATATTACTTACCCATTGTCAACTTGAAGTCTTGGGGCAGTGGTAGCTGTCATGAAATAGCACCCATCAGGAGACCATTCACTAGTCACAGACCATTCTGCCTTGGTGGTTCCAAGTTGTTTCTTATCTGCGTAATCCCAGAATACCTAGCACACAAGCATGAAAAACATATGAACTCCATGTAAGAAGAATGCTTTTGAAATCTTGCATGTATTTCAACACTAGTCATGTGGAAGTAAAGCACATACTTGAAATTTCTTCTATACTTCAATTATTGTTTTAATAACTAAAGGAAATGCCAATTGCAGTTTTTGGAACCACTATTTTTAGGGGAATAATCACTTTTTTCAAAAGTTATCTCAATTAACTAGCAAAAATAAGTGATTATTGCGTCACAATAAACTAAACCAAAAGCGCACTATAAATAAGAAATAAAACATGCAGTTAATAATTAAAATAAATAAATAAAATAGAAAAAGTTAAAGAGATGCATTAAGACTAAGACCAAAAAACAACCAAAGGCACCAACAATATAACACTTAAGTGATTCTTAAAATCTAAAAGTAATTGTAAGTCATAGTTTGTTTTTAACAAGGTGAACCAGTAGTCATAGATAAACCAATTAGGAAGTCACACATCAGATCTCTTCCATCATAAAGGAAAAATCAGAAGAGATCGTAATGATTCAAATAGTCAAGAAAACATACCATATCGCCAGGCAAGTTACCAAAGCCAGCCAAACATAAAACTGGACGCCAACAATCAAGGAACCCACATTTAGATACTTATATCGAAAGAATATTGAGCCACTTCAAATCTTCAACCCTACCCAAACCCTTAGAGGGCAGGCCCTCTAAAAATTTAAAAGAAAAAGAAAGAAAGAAAACTCCTCATGGAAAAGTGTCAAAATTTTATTCAGCTAAATACAAAGAATGCCAATTCATTGGCCGAGGATACATTTCCCTTTTGGGTTCCACCGAATAGTGTTGTAAGGACCAGTTCCAAGCTCCAGTAGAGGATTGCACTTCTTGTCAAACACAGTTGCTTTAGCAGGCATAACTAAAATGGATTAAGGAAAAGTGAAACATTCGTGACATCTATAAAGAACCATAAAAAATTGATTATAATAGTGTGGACGAAAAATACCCAACATCTAGTACAATTTGGTACATTAAGGCTTTTTGAAAACCATACATAAGAAGGATCAGGTTTTCCCAAAAAAAAAAAACGATAGAAGCAGCAGCTCTAGTGCATTTCAGAAAGCATTTCCTAACATGGATCTAAAGTCATCTCAAAATAATTGAGCACTTCAGCCAAAATGGATTCATGACTTAACCATATGCACTGTTTGTTTAATGTATTAAACCTGGCCCTAGTATTCAATGTTGGTGGATCTCAGAAAATATCAAACAGTGGGAACTTTAGTACACACTGGTTATCTCCACATAGTATATATCACAGAGAAAAGGATACAACCATATACAACAGCAAATTCCAAGCCAGAATAAGACCACTGAGCATCATGAATAGGCCCATCTTTCCCTGCCAATTATTTTAGCATAGAATGTCACCCTTCTTACAGAGATTATATAACCAATTATCAGTTCCTTTACTAACAGTAAGAACATACGAAGAGGCACAAGTCCTTCATGCATCCCATCTGTAGTTAGATAGCATAACTTTGATTCTCCATAGTAACTCTGATTAGTTTTGTCAACATCTGATTGCACCACCACTAGAAGCCCAGTTGAACCACGATTCCATTTAAGTTGGGTGGTTGAACATCGGAAAAAACTACGCCGAGCAATAGGTTGACTTTGAGACACATTTCCACAAGCAAATAGCTGTACACTGGCAGGAACCCCCTACAATGTAGAAAATTTCATAATATATACATCAACATTAAAAAGGTATGATAAAAAATCATTATTTATAGATTTCTGCCACACAGGATGTAAACCTGAACTCTAAAGCTTCATTTAACATTGATTAATACTGACCACCAATGGGACATGGAACAAGACAGCATATGCAAAGAAATTCAGATTAGAATTTCCTACTATACAATCTATGTTTAGGACAACATAACCTCATAAGATATAGCCATCGACCATTCCTAGGCACTTGAAAAAATGAAATAACTTATAGTTTCATTGTTTGAATGTTTACCATTGAAAATGATTTTGTTGGGCTTCCATGTCTGAACTACACAGTCGAAAATATTACTTATACTAAAAGCAATAAATGCAAGAATTTACAATTACCCTAATCACTATAACTAAATAATATTATACAACATATAATTACCTTATTTATAGCATTTCTAAAACTCTCCCTTAAGTTGGAGGCTTGGAGCATTTAAATCATCTATACCAAGTTTGTTACATATGTAACTTACAAGAGGACTTCTTAAAGACTTCCTGAAAACATTTGATAGTTGGTCATCTAAACTGACAAAGTTACTGATGATGGCCCTAGATAAAATTTTATCACTAAGAGAAAATGAAAAATTATTTCAATATGTTTGGTCCTTTCATGAAATATTCCATAACTTAAGTATATCCCTTGTCTTAAGATTCTAGAACTATTCTTCAGAGTCCTTTGATGTACTTCAAAGCACAAGGTGAGTTATGAATTTGGCCTACTATATTAGCTGCAAAAAAAAATATATGAGCAAGTGACAATGGTATACTTTAATTTTCCTACCAATCTTTTGTATCTTTGTTGGTCTAAAAGTAACTTTCCCTGATCTCTAGCAAAGCTTGATATTAGGATTCATAAAAGTGTCAACAGCCCTACCATTTATTGAAGTAATTTCCTCTATAATGTTCATTGTATAATTGCTTTAAAGAATTACAATAATATTCTTGGATTCAACCCCCTGTGTCCACAAGTATCAAAATCAGCCACAATCTTTTGTCTAAAAGTGATGACAAAGATGCTATTTACCTAAAGTCATGGTGATCACTGCTTTCAATGACAATGTTCTTAACGTGCAAAACCAAGTGGATACACCATGTGGCTGAATGGCAGTTGAAAATCAAGTGATCAACCTCACAATAAGTCATACCAAACCACTAAATCCAATGCTAAATCTACCAAATTGTGCGTTAGGAAATGGTTTTAGATCATATGAAAACTTGTAAAGATAACAAACTAGCCTCAAGCATTCACCCTAAACAATGAAATTATGAGGTTGTTCCATATAAACTTTAGTGAGATCTTTATAAAAGAAAGCATTCTTCAAATTAAGTTAATAAAGAGAGGCCCATGGCAAATAACAACAACAGACAAGAATAATCTAGCATAAGTCATTTAGCCATCAAAGGAAAGTGTCTCTATAGTTCAAGTCAAAAACTTGTGTATGACCTTTAGCAACCAATTGAGCCTTAAGTCAATCAACATAACCATTAAGACCAACTTTAATAATAAAAATCTAATGAAAACCTACAAACAACATCCTTGGAAGGAGAAGAACAAGATCTATATTCCACTGCTTCAAAACACCACTGCTTCGAAACAAATACACACATTTCTTCAACCATAGATAATCGCCACCCTAATTTGGAAAGAGCTTCACTTGCTACAATCACAGGAGCATAGTCCAAGTTGTTTTGATAAGATGTCAACTTCTGTGTTTAATAACCTATTTTGTTGAAGGATATGAATTGAGGACATGATGTTTGGTGAAGAATACTATGAGATGCCATGAATATTTGGAATTGTTTAAATAAGTATTCACATGCAATGTCACAAGACTCACAACACACAGTGCATGTTGAAAAAATGTAAATTGAATTTGATATTCATTAAGAAAAAAAAGGTCTCAAATATACAAAACAACCCAAACCATCTTTTCGTTAAGAACAACCAAGTCCATTGAGAGTAATTCTGTAATTGTCAACAAAAGTGAGAAAGTATCTATACCCCAAAGTAAACACAGCAAGACTAGGATCTTAAACATTAGAATGAACTAAAGCAGATAGAGATAAAGGTGTGATGATTGACATGATCAAGAAATGAACTACAAGAATATTCCCAAACTAATATGGCCCAATGTAAAGCAGGGGGGGGGCAACCATGAAGGGTCCAACACCTATCAATGGTATGACCCAAGCAGTGGCAGTGACAGCAGTGGTCACACTGAAGATGAGATTTTTTTCGAACTTACAAAAATGATTGGAATAGGAGCATGAGACATGTCCAATTTAGAGGTTTGTTTGAGGGAAACATGAAGCAAAGTGGACCAAACTGTGTCCAAGCTCGGTATAGGAGGAGATCCCAAAATCTGAGCACAAATAGTAGAATACTCTATAGGCAAGCTATACAAAGCCAACAACATAAAGAAAGTGTTGTGCTGCTCAAGTTCCTTGGCAGGGGTCCCATAAGGCGTAGTAAATCTTGAAATCATGCAAAGACCCAAGAATCATACCCAATAGGTAGATATAGAACCATCAAACTTGTGAGGGAAAGTAATCCTCATAAGGTTTTGCAAACCCTATTCAATTGTTGAGTGTCATTGAAATAAAGAACTTTGCCTTATTCCCAAATGGACTCACAGGCGTCATGAGCATGAAAAATCAATGTCAAGGACAGGTGTATAGTGGCTTTAATGATGCTACAAAGTTGAGTATCAATTTTCTTCCATTTAGAATGATCTTTTTCAGACAGAGTCAACCTTAGTAGTGAGATGGTCATTGTAGCCTTGTCCGATAAGCCAAAGTTTGATGACAGAAGCCAAAAAGCCATAGTTATCCCATCCAACTTGTCAATGAATAGAGGGGCAGTGACATAGCCAGTGAAAATAGGAGTCTCATCATTAGAGTGTCCTTGGAACCATTGCATTCAAATCCATTGAGGGGAAGAGATTTAAGACACATGTATTAGAATTCGTGTGTTAACTACAAAGTAGAAATTATTATTTACACTGGAAGCAGTAAATACAAGGATTTACAGTTCCCCTAATTATTCCAATTGTATAACATTATACAGCATATAAATACTCTATTCACATTCTTTCTATCAGATTTCATATGGTATATATTTGAGAGTAAAGTACCCAATCATTGAAAGATACATCATTTCTCAATTTGGATCCCCATACTTTTTTATTTTCTAAGTTGAATGATTTCATTTGTTTCAAGTTGGCCTTTCTAGTCATCCTATGCTTCAAATCCAACGACAATTACAACAAATGACATAACTGAAGATTTAACTCAGAAAAGAAAATACAAGTAAAGAACCAAATTGCAAAATGCTATTGCTTTTATAGACAAAAATAGTAGCTTACTATATAATAAATTGTTTGAGTTATCTCAAACCACTTGACTCAACTGAGCATCATAAATACACAGTGCATCTGCAATTCATTGAAACTTTAATCCTTTTCACGACTGGAACAAAGAGTTATATCCTAATTCTCAAATATAATTTATTCACAAACTACCCAAGAATCTCCAGAACAAAATGAAAGACATCCAGATACTCAACTTTTATGCATCAATGGTTCAGTAGAATTTTATACATCAAAAACCTAACTCACAGCATGCCAATTTTTCAATCATACCAATTTCTCATTCATTTAGTCACAAAAAAATAAACTAAGCCTCCACAATAAGCATTATTAAGTTAAGAGGACACAAACCTTGGATTCTGGAACAAATGCAGCCACATGAGACCCAGGTGTACTAGAAAGCTCAACAGCAGCAACTCCCGGAACTCTCAACCGATAAACAACTCCTTTAGAGAAATCCCGAGTGTCAAAAAACTGCACCTCATTCGTTGCCAACCGGCACGCAGTAGTTTCATCGGAGCTGAACTGAATCGCAGGCCTGAACAACATACAGACAAGGTCACAGTCAAAACATAAACTGCAGTGACAATATCAATGCATTTATAAAAAAACATTGGGAAAATACTAGAGTTACTTATGATAACTTGAAGCACAGAGTGAGAACTCTTATTGTTTTCACAATTAACGAATTCAACGCATACCAATTGGTTTTGGTGATGTTCTTTTGAGCATGTTGGTAAACAGAATCACCGGTCTCGATTTTCCAAAGCTTGACGTTCTTTTCCTGTGGCGCTGAAGGTTTTTGAAAGGTTTGCAAATAGGTTGCAGAGGGAGATAAGATAGCAGCCAGAACATTGGGTACTTGAAAAGACCTAATCTCTTTAGCAGTGTCGCATTGGTATATAGTAATCACAGAGTTAGATTTCGTCACCATGAGTTTCGATCCATCGTCGCTGAATTTCGCATTCACGCAATTAACTTTTTCAAGTTTGACGCCAGGTTGACCATTGGCAAAGGGAGGCCCAGTCCAGAGGGAGCAATCTTCTGGTCCTCGAACTGAGAGAAAATCAAAATCAAAATTAAAATATGAGAGAGAAAGAAAATAAATCAGAGAGGTGTTGTTAGCGGATGGATACCTAATATCTCCAGAGAGGGTGATTGGTTATTTGATGCCATTAGAGTGTGTTTTTATGCCTTTAAGTTCAGTGAAACAATGGAGAAAAAAAAATGAATCAAAAAGGTTTTGTTAGTGTCTCCACGGAGGGCAGACCCCAAGCTTCGATTCTGTCACTGCAACTGCAACTCTCAGCTTGGCCGATCGCAACTCAGACTGGAACTGAAGTTCACTTCCGCTTTTTCAAATTTTATTTTATCTCTAAATATATTCAAGTACATAAACTTCCTCACTTCAATTTTTAAGGTTAAAGATAAAAAAAAATGTAAAATATTTTTATTATATACAAATTATAAATAAATTTTTATTTTCAGTAACTAATTTTAATTTTATGATTAATTATATTTTTAATATTTATACTTTAATTTATATGCAACTTTAATGTCTTTAATTTTAATTACTTAAATTAATTTGTTTTAATATTTTATTCTAAAATTTCATTAAATAATTAACAAATTTAAAAATACTTGATATATTATTAATTTATATAAATTAATAAAATATTTAAATATAAATATTAAATTAAGAATATTAAAAAATTACTTTATTTAATTATGTTATATGATTTTTTAAAATTTTATATAAAAATTAATAATGCATTACACGTATAAATAAACTATCTATTTTATATATAATTTGTGAATTTTAATTCTTAAACATATTTTTTTAGGAGTTCATCTTCTAAGAAAATGTTTTTAAATATCATTTTTTTAATTCATCCTTAATTTAGATTTATTTTTTTATAAATTTAAATGTTTATTATTTATAATTAAAATATTATAATTCCTTCTTGTTTATGTGTTCTTATTATTTGATTATGTGATTTTCATAATACATATGTAAATTCATTAAATTTATTGAACTGGTGGATGCAACCTTAATATCGCCTAAGGATGAGATTTAGATTTATGAGTAGGTGAATCTACTTAAGTTTGAACATGATTCTTATATGGATTAAATCATCAAATGAAACTGAATAATGTCATTGTGTGAATAGTTGTATAAATAATTAGCTACTTGGAAATTTCACAAAATATTCATAATGATTTGTATTTTCTTTTCATGAACTTTGCATAAATTGAGTTGTTGGAAATTTTTGGGGAAAAAAAATTATCCATTTTACATCCCAAATATTGTGGGTTAGAATGTGAATAACAATTACAGTGAACATGCATTACTTCAAATGAGGATATTGCATCCAATGTTGGTTATGTTAGGGTCTAAGTTAGTTCGTATTCTATGAAAACAATGACTAATATCATAATTGTTTTTAGGTTCTAATGCGAACCCTTACAAAACTATGTTTGGGTGCCGATGCTAATTTAAGGTTTGTAACTATAGTTGATTTCTTGGTGTCCAGATAGGTATTTTAAAAAGTTTTGTTTCAATTTGATTTTGTATTTTAAACAAACAATAGTATTTTTTTGTTTAGTTTGAAATTATTATGACATTAACTTACCGAAATTATTAATGTTTGTTTATTTTAAGCTATAATTAAATATTTTAAAACAAGTGAAGTAAAAATAAAATAAAATAAGCGTAGATAAACTGAAGTCAATATATCATCATTATTTAAACAACCACATAACTTTATCTCGTTAGATAATGCTAGTTATTTTACTTATTTAAAAAAAATTATTCTGAATTTGTTTAATTTTTTTATGTTTTTTTTTATCTTCCTATCATTATTGTTTAAATACTTGTGATAAAATACTTTTATAAATAACGAATATAATGATGTTAAATTCACAAATAATTATTGTATAATACATCATAATAACTTGTATCTTAAAAAATATTAGTTAATAACAATAAAAATGTAGTTAATTTTTTAATTGATATTTATAAAATTATAATTAACATTTATCTTATATTTTTCGCTTAAAAAATAAGACAATTTTTTAACGTTAAAAATATACAATAAAAAGCTATGCAAAATATTATTTCATTAAAAATTATATAATATCATAAAATTTAATATATTAAAAATATTAAATACTATAATTTTTAATAAAAATATTATTTATTAAGTTTTTATTATACAACTCATGTACCCCTTAAAAAGACAAATAGAGCAAAAGGGAGGGGCATTTGTGTACATAAGGAAGAGAAGCGGTTTGTTTCGTAAATTCCGTCAACGTACCATTGAGAATGGTGAGTGAGTGACTGAGTGAGTGGTGTTGCCTTTGCCTTTTGGAACCCACGCCTGCACTGCACCACTCTCTTCCTTGTCCTCTTCTCTCTCTCTCTCTCTCTCTCTCTCTCTCTCTCCCTCTCCCTCCCAACAACAGAGTGTTTCTCTCTCCGTTACTCACAAAAAAAATAATGGTGGGCGAGTTCATTGTTTGCATTGATGGGATTATAACCTCCACGGCATGTTTAGGATCAGTTGGCGATGGAAGACACTCTGATTGTGATGCCCTTCTTAACGTTGACCTTTCTCACAATAGCAGAGAAGGGTGTTCCTCTTCTTCTTTTTCTTCTTCTTCTTCGCACGTGGATGATGTTTTTGAGTGCAGAATATGCCAGGAAGAAGATCAAGTCAAAGCCTTGGAGGCCCCTTGTTCCTGTAATGGCACTCTCAAGGTCTTTTCCTTTATATTCCTCCCTTTTTCCTTCTCAAACTCAATGTCTCAAAGGATGTAACTTGATAAATAAGCTACTCGGAAACTCTCATGGCTGTTGTCGCATTTAGGTTGGCAATGCATTTGTTGTTTACTCATATTCCCTTCAATCACCGGTAATCCACCACCTCTTCTGTGATCCTTTTGCTTGTCCTAATACAATGGCTTCTTAAATTAATTCAGTTGCAGTTAATGAAAACATTTCATTTATTCATGTTCATGCTCTGTTGCTTCATCTCCTGAATCTTTACCTGTGTTGCTTTTGATTTGTACAAGAGGAGGAGGAAGAGTGTTGACTTCACTTTTACTCTGAATCTTTTTGGATATTAGTGTAGTGGTTTTGACTTCAAGTTGGATTATGAACACGTTATAGCTCACAATTTCTTGACATGCAGTTTGCTCATAGGAAGTGTATCCAGAGATGGTGCAATAAGAAAGGAAATACTATATGTGAAATCTGTAATCAGGTTCGGGCTTTCAACTCATTCATATTCTTTTATCTTCATGAATTGCGTATATATAATATTAGAAATTATGAGTTCTCTATCTTTCACTCTTTTTAGGCGTTTTCACCAAATTATTCTCTTCCACCGGTCAGAAGCAATGACATTATGGAAATTGATATGAGGTAATTTTGGGCATGTATTGGAATAACGGATTTCAATATGGCTTCTTATTAATTTCCACCTTGTGAAAGGTTTTTCTCAATGCCTGTCAGTTGTGTGAGCTGAAATTTTCTCTGTAAGCCGGAGAATTGGCTCTATATATACCTTGGCTGCTTAATCTTCAATCTTGGGTCTCAAACATGCCAAGGAAAAAGATCTCGTATGAAATATAGAAACTTGATTGAATATGTAAAAGAAATTTCATAGAAGTTTGACTTCCCAACCGATGATTTGGTGCAGGAATAAATTGGACTGCTGAACTAAAGAGAAATTGCATATACTATCTAGAATTAATTCCCTTAAAAACACATTTAAATGTTGATGCAGAAATTGCATATCAGCAAATATGTTAGGAGTCAGTTTGGATAATCTTTTCAACAAACACTTAACAAAGAAAAAACGAATTAAAGAGGTAAAACAAACCAAACTTCTCACATAAGTTAAAATTAATTTATGTACCTCAACTTTTTCAAATGCTCCCTCATCTAACTTCTCTATAAGCACCTGTAAACTTAACAAAACTCTGCATTTTTGCCTTAGAGAAGTCTTAATAGTAAGATTTTACAATTAAAACTTTCATAACTACAGAGTTTTAGAGCCTCAATTTGCAGCTTTGAATTCTGAAGAGATGATGAGCGAATAAGTTGGTTTTCGCATTAGATATTGTCTATTGACAAGGCTAACAAGATTACCTCGTTATGGTTGCAATGTCAACTTTCAATTCAATTATGCAGCCAACCCCAATTTTAATATTTCCCCTTAACCAAGTTATGCATCAAAGCAAGTGGTCTTAGTAACATAAGTGTTGGCTTTTTATTTTAAATGTTTTAACACTTAACTTTAGGTAAACCATGTCACTATGATGTTTACTTTGTCCCAATCTGTTGTCAATATTGTGATTGAATATAACTCAACCAACAGGTTTAAAGTTCATGAGGAATGTTGTTAAGACACAAACCTAACAGACATTCCTTGAAGCTAATTTGCACACTTTTATCCTTGTGCTGTCATTAACACAGCAAATATTGGTCCTCCCCAATTTTCTACACTCTACTCTCTAATTCCCCTCCTCCCATTTCAAAAAGTAAAAGGAATTAATTGACTCTAGGCATTGCCAATTGTAGGATCTGTCTTTTTCTTTTAAAAATTTGCAATAATCCTCCAGGCTCAGGATATGTAATGCTTTTGTTGTTGGTTTATTTGTATCCCACTGGTCCTTACCCTTTTTCATTGTTTCTTTTCATATCTATATCAATTTTCCTTCTCTGAGACTTGTATCTTACTTTCATACAGGCAAGAATGGGGGCATGATACTGATCTCCATGTGGCTCTAGCTTCAGCAGAGCACCAGTTGCTGCAAACTGAGTATGAAGATTACGCTGTGACACAAACCAGTAGCATTGCTTGCCTCCGCTCTGTCACTCTAATGGTAAGGAAACAGATGTAATGTTAAAGCACGTTTTGTTTCATCCTTTCTGGGAGCTGATGATTATATATTATACAGTTGCTGATAATTTTGCTTGTACGCCAAGCTTTAGTGGTCACAAAGAACTCCACAACTGGGCACAATGCATCTACAATCTTTAATGTAAGTGCTGTGTTCTTATAACTTCCTTTCTTGGCACATTCACAGGTGTGTGGCAATACCATTGATTGGGAGGGTCCATGTTAGAAAGAATAGGAATCTTAAGGCTATTAATAGTAAATATTAATGGCCATTAATAGTAACTAAATAACTGTAATTGGAATTATTGTTGGTTTTGTGTACCGTATGATAGTTATAAGCCAGTTAGAAGAAGAGTGGCTGTCACTTTTGGGTTTTGAAAAAAATGAGGGGAGGGAGAGCCCCAGGTCTTGGGGCACCTGGAAATCAGAGAGAGAGAGAGAGAGAGTTCCCATTGTACAGTCTTGGCCTCTGATTCGGCACCACATTGTTATTGAAGCAGAGAATAGTTTTCTGCCATAAAGATTGATTTTCATCATTTTATCTTTGATCCGGTTCTACAAGTGTAATATGCATAAGTTTTGGGATATATTTTGTTATGATGATTCACATGAGCTTTGGTGTTATTTATGAGTGCATGCTCAGACTTTCTTATAATTTTTATAACATGTAACCGTAAGGGAACTAGATTAGCATCATAAAATGACACAAGCTAGTGCAAGTATCTGTTGTTGAGGCTTCTCCGTGCCAAGTTATTCAGGAAAAAAGTGGGGGAAAAGGTTATGTTTGTGGCTTTGTGCGAAAAACTGCATATTCACCTGGTTCAGTTATAATTATTATTATTAAGTTTGATGGGTAAAATGAAATGTACATTTTATAACTGAAACTGAAAGAAGAATCAAATGCATTTTCAATAAATAATTTCAGTTGATGTAATAACTTTCCTTTCTTATCACCTAGTATTCAAAAGGTTGTATATTTAGCAGTTTCTGAAGCTGTTTCATTGCCACCTAATATTGTTGTGTGCCAGCATGTTATGTTAGGTAAAATAGCAGTTTGAGATTCAAGTTAAGAAAGCTGTAATGTCTTGGGATTGGAATGATCTCAGTCTTTCTCTTATGTGTCCTTTCCTGCTTTGCTGGGTACTAATTGTTCACTTGGAATGGTTGATTGCAGTTTGAGATGTCACTCCTTCAATTTGCCGGCATTCTTTTGCCATGCTACGCAATGGCACGGTCCTGGTATGTCATACAGAACCGAAGAAGAAGACAGGTATGGCTTTAGATGATGCTATAACAAGTCACAACATAATGAATCATTTATATCCAGTGTAAAGGGTGCCCCAAGCTTTGCATTTATATATTTATTTGTTTTTTGGTCAGAAGTTTTGCATTTATGAATGCTTTGATGGTTATTTTCTACATGCTTGTTTTCCTTGCAGCATGTTGTATAGACTAGGTTCATTGCTTCATGTAAGATTGTCTATCTTTTGCAGGGTTAATGGAGAGAACATAGATGACAATATTTTAGTTGGCTGTGACAATATCTTAGTTGGCTGTCACAAAAATGGAGCAGTTACAGACCGACGCTACATGATTTTGTTTGTCAAATGCATTGAAATTGTATATATTAACCATGCCGTGGTAAAATATCATGAAATGAAGCGTTCTTCCCATTTCCATGGAAAGGGAAATGGTAGCAGCATATTTCAAGTGTGGTGCACTCTCACAAACATGAAATTAGCGTTTGGATAGGGATGGAGTCAGAAAAATTTCCAAGGGACAAGAGGTTGATTGGTTCTAAGTATTTTACAGCTATATATTTTTATCCGTCCCTGAAATCAGTAGCAATGGTATCTAATTTTTTTCAAGTCTTGATATTTTGGCACATCAAGCACATGATGCACTAATTTACTATTCCTAGTCATCATTAGAAAAATCGTTGATATAATTTCTGCTCAACGGCAGATATATCATCTGTACTATAGGATTTGTAGGAATATTTTGAAGTTATGGCTTTGCTTAACATAAGAAGCTTGTGTATCAAATTTTCTATTTTCTTTCAATTGAAACTATGTAATCATTGTAAAAAGTATCTAATGTTATTGCTGTATTCTGTTAATGACGCGGACCATTTATTATCATAGAAAATAATACTCATCAAGAATTTCAACCATGTAATTCTCACACATGAAGTGGAAATATGACTATGAATAAATTTAGTGTAGTATTTTTTTTTCTTTATTTTTTTGGTGTTGGGAGGGAGAATTGGAGAAAGGAGGGTTATCTTTTGTGTTTTTTTTTAGCTATCAAATAAGGCCGTTTTGTACAGTAGGGTATAAGCAGTGGGAGGAAAGTGATCTGCAAAAACAACGACACTTTCTGGGCTTACCTCTGATTACGTATGTGTTTGTAACAGTTCAATGTAGACTTCAATTAACGTGATTCCAAACGTGATATGCGAGTGTTAGTATTAGTGTCAAACTCATTAAAATAACACTACCAATATTATTTATAATTGTTAAATTTTATTAATTCAACTTTTGTATTGATAATTTTAATAAAATAAATTAGTTTTACAAAATTTTAAATGTTATACCATTTTAAAAATAATAATTTTTATCACATCACTTTATTTTAATATGCAATGGGATGTGTAAATATAATTTTTTATTTTAATGTGTTATTTTATTGAGTTTGATATTAAAATTTAATTGATCTTGTCCGTATGAAAATATTTATATTAAAATGAAATGCAATTATTTATCGTAGGAAGATAATTTATGAATGGGTGTAAATGTTTGTGGGTAGGTAAACGTTTCCTTACTTTTAATAACGAGTTGAAAACGGAAGCTTCATACGATAGTTGAACTTTATATTGCAATAAAGTGCAGAAGATTTGATGTCATTTTCTAGTCTCAATGGTAATTGGATTTTATAAGATTCCGGGTTTAGTGCCATAATTCCCGTTGCCATCTAATCCGTAGCAAAACTCAAGAGTGATGGACCAACTACCAACTTCAGAATATTAAGCTCAAGCTTCCTATAATAATCAAATGAAAATTATGAACCCACCTTAAGTTTCTGCTTTTTACCTCTTTCTCTTTTCTTCCGACATAAACTAGACAAGTGATGGACAATCGATTTGAGATGTATAAATAGTTAAATATCTACAAATCATACAATTCTTTGGAGTTTTAATGTCATTGCTCTTTTTACCCAACTCAAATCTATAATGCACTCTTCATTATATTGCTTTTCATCTTACTAACTTTGCACTAGTTTTAATTATTCTTAAAGCACCCTAATTTTTTTTTTATTAATAATATGACCAAAATAAGCAGATGATTTAACAAACAGAGGTAAGATTAGTGTATGTATACCTTAGTTAATTAACTTCAATATTTTAATTAAAGCTAAACCATAAATGCTGAAAATTTAAAATTTATACGAAGTCTCAATATTTTATGGCTAGTACTATGAATTGGAAACGACTAATGTTATTCTAATGGTATTTTTTTACATGCTTATTATGTCATTTATTTCATCTTAAATTTTTTTATCTCCCATTCATTATATAAATTATTATAGAAAATACATATTTGAAATAATATGACCAATGCTTCTCAAAATTTATGTATAAACACAAGTGCTATATAATTGAGTATTATTTCATTTATGAAATGTAAAGTAATAATATATATAACACAGGCTACCAATGTAATCATATTATATCATGTACCCTGCATAATCGCCTTCTGAACAAGTATGCAATTTTGAATTTCCTAGGACATAGGCTCGTACTTGTAGGCTTAGTTAGAATAATCTAATCTAGTTGAAATTTTAACGTAGGTGAAACGGCCATTAAACCAGTACTAATCTATAATTAGATAATATTTTGCGTACGAACGAGTAAAACAGTGTGAACTGGGCAGTCAATGATCCACACATACAATTGCATACCAAATTAATTTAATTAAATAACAAATACCAAACTTTTTTTATATTTAAACATTAAAGTATTAAAAAATACAATTGTACAACAACTTTGTGCATATTCTTTTGCGCATAATAGAGATAACTCATTTTATTGACGGTGAGATATATGTTATCAATTATTTCTCATTTTATCATAATACTTTTCAAAATCTTTAATCAATAACGCGTTTTTGAATTTTTTTAACTCACTATATATAATGCAAATGTGACAAGCAAAGTACCAGTAAGACGCTTTTAAATATATTTTTTAAGATTATTTTAATTATTTAAAATATTAATAAATAACAAATATATATCTAAAAGAATACATCATTATACTAAATTAACAATCTCAGAATACATCATCATTTCAAAAGACTTTTTTGCTGAGCCTTTTAATTCAAATAATTAACAAGGCTGATTAGTTAAACTAAACCCAGTTGCTAGCTAGATATACTTGTAATAATGATAATAAAATAATAAAGCACGAGGAAGAGATCATAAATCGACAACTATATTCTATAGACATAATTTTTGTAATAAAAAGGAGATTTTCGGCGACACCTTTTTAAAAAAATTTTAATGTGTAAGTTTTATAGTTTTAAAGAAAAATCAGGTTCGGAAGAAGAAAGTGGACAAACACACAAGTCGTAGGTAAAAAAAGAGAGACAAAGAAAGAAAGGAAAAGCGCGTGGGTCCCATGCATGGGAGGGTCCGCAAAGGATGACGAATATCGTTTGATGGTGGACTTTTGAGGCGCACGGTCGTAGAAGAAGCGCTTCGTGGACCCCACTGTACCGGAACATCTCACGACATTCGAGAGTTGTTGCACGCGAATCGCTCAACGGACACCACGTGGACAAGGAACGCGCTTGGACAGCACGGACCCGGAGACGCGCGTGACGGTGGTAGGGTCACGGGTTAGGTTTCTAGAGAGAAGAAAATGAAAAAAAAAAAAAGAAGAAAAAGTTGGTGGGACCCAGTGTCGGAAAGAGCGTACCCGATGCTGAAAAACTGCTCTGACACGACATCTCACCGGTTTCCCGCCAAAACAGATTCCAAGGTTTTTAGAATGCTACTTTCTTTAATTAGTCACTACCCTACGCTCTACATTTTCATACTTAACTTAGACACCAATTTTTCACATTTTGATTTTATTCAAGAACAGTGCTATATGACAAGGTATTCTATTTAAATTTTTGTTTAGTGATAATTTAATTCTGTAATTCATCATTTTATGGATCCTGATTAAAAATTTTAATAACTAGTTTTTTTTATTAGGAATTGTGATAAAATAAATATATTGATGATATTGAATGTAGTTTTTACTAAAAGATTTTTTTATTTCCTACTTATTAGGAAAATAATTTATAATCAATAATAGATCAATAGTAATAGCATGGGAATATATTTAATGATCGAGGTATTTTGTTTTGAGAAAATGGGTTAATTAATTTGATTTTGTTTTTCTAAACATTTAAAATTAGTATATTTTAATTCAAAAATATTTTTTAATTAATCTTAAAGGTTAATATTAATATATATTTTTTAATAATTTCTTAAATGAATTAGCATCTAGTTGATTTGATTTAAAGTTTGGAAAATATAATGCAAAATACGAGATAAGATGAATAGGGTAGAATAATTGTGACGCAAATTTCAAAAAACAGCTAGATGATATAGGAAAAATTCACGTTCATATATAACACAAACAGACCCTATTGGTTCCTTGTTGCTTTTTTTAAAGGAACAAAAATACTGATTGAATATGGATTAGTTGGAAAATTCACAGGCTTGATTACTGTTGACTAATTTTAAAAGTTGTCCTAAAAAAACTAATTATCCAATGTAAATTAATTTTAAGTTCTAAGTTGGTGGATTTTTCCTTCGTTTAACTTATGTAGTATATTTTGGAAAACGATTAATTTTTAAGAAATAATTATTTTTTAATGTTTTTAATAGAATTAATAAAAACTATATATTTGTTTTAAAATAAACTAAACCTAAAAAGTGTTTAATAGATTGATTGAGTTCAATTTCAATAAAAACAAATCTGCAATTTATTTATTAAGGGGTCAAGTATTAGTTTTTTGAACGGGAAGTTTTTTTTTTGTATTTTTTTAAGTAATTATTGTATTGAGAGATTTTTAAAAAATACCATTGTTAAAAAAAACAATTTAATTAAACATGCACAAATTTTAATCTTGCTTTATTTATATTTTAAAACAATAAATATTACGGAAAGAAATAGCATATGACCGTTTAATTGTTTTTAGTGAAAACAAGTTTAGCAGAGATAAAATCGAACTACTTTTGCTATATTCTCTTAATCATTCTCTTTCTATTTTATAAAATAATAATTAAATAAGAATACACGTGTTAAATAATAAAAAATTATTTAATCATTTATTTATTTATTTATTTATTATTTAAGAATATTAAAGATATAAAGGAAAGAGAAATTATAATTATTCTTATTTAAGACGTTATTATAAGTTTTTATTACAAATAAAAAAATCAATTGCTACAACAATGCAATGCTTTTATCGATTGATAATATAAAACACACAAATAATTTGAAGGTATTCATTTGAAACTTTACAAAAATTAGAGAAATCTCAATGTTAATTATTAGAATTAATATTGCATAGCATTGTGGCTTAATTGATTTAAAAGTTTATAACTTATAATGCTATTAATGAATATTAATTAGTAACCTAAAACCTATACTTACCTAAGAAAATAGTGACTGAATTTTGGGCATTTCATGTGTACCTGAACTGAAGGTGGCTTGACAGAAGCAGGTACCTTATTTTTGGATAGACGTG